AAAAAAGTTACTAACATCATGCCATAACTCAGTACCCCAGACCAGTAATGTTCAATTTTCTATCTGAATGAGACGGCAACAAAGTCCTCGCGATTCTGTCTTGTATTGCCCTTAGGTTCGTTCCTCTTTTCCCTTCTTCTCTCTTTAATCTTACACAAGCAATGCATAAACACAGAGTACTGAGTTGTAAAGAGCCAATACAGTGACAGCTGACACGGTTGCTGGTTCAATGGCCACAGCCTCCTTCCTGTCCCAACACATCTGCCTTTTGGCAGAGCAATGGCGCCATTCATGCTTTCAAGAGACGACAACCCCTTTCCTGATCTCTCTGGATTGGGCTGCTTTTTTGCCTAGCTCTAACCAAGGGAATGCCACAGACGTACCACGGCAGGGCCTGGCCTTCGCAGGCCTGGCTGCTTCTGCCTACCTTGCCCACTGGGTGATGAGGGGCGGTGTGGAGGACTGAGGCTGCCAGGTGGACGGCCAGCAGTCCCACAAAGCATGAAGAGTTGGTCTGTGTGTGTGTGTGTGTGTGTGTGTGTGTGTAGGACACCCAGCAAGGGAGCTACTGCACCAAGCCCCTGGCTGCTGGGAGCCTCTGGGTTTCACCATGCCATGTTCTGCCGCAAAGGTGAACAGAAACATTGCCTCTTGCTCCACCCATTCTTCTCAGAGCTCTTCCTATGTACTGCAAATATGCATGTGGCTATAACTGCATCAAGTTAAAGAACTAAGATAGGACCTCATTTTGCTCTCGACACGTCTGCCCGCGGACGCGTGTGTATGACGTCACTCGGAGTCGGTCGCGCCACACCGACCTAGTCCTTGTCTGGACAGTTAGGCAACTTGCCCCGTTTCACCCTCCGTGGGATCACTCGACACCCTCGGGCCTCCAGGTTTCCTTGCTGCCATCCATCCGCCTGGGCTAAGGGAGGGAGGGGTGCAGCCTGAGGAGGTGGCCACTGGCACTTGCTGCAGGGTTTGGGGCGTTGGTTCTCTCAAGCTGAGCTGACTCTTGTCCTCTGGAGAACACAGAAGTGTAAATGCATTGTTAGCACTCTTCACCATCCTTGGGCTTTGGTAGAGGAAAGAATTGGAAAGCAAGGCGGAGCTAGGCTGTGTGTTGGGGACCCCAGCAGCTGACTTTCCGCACTCACACTGTACTTGAAATTCACTGGAGTGTTCCGTGCTCAGGGTGGAGTGGGAGGGTATTGCTGGAGTCTGTGATGGGCCAAGCTGCTGCAGAAGGCAGGCTGTCCGGCAGCAGCAGGTGACTGGGATGGAGAGGTGGGCACAGGGACAGGCTTTGATCTTGCAGAGATTTCTGTGTGTGTGGTGTGTGTGTCACAGGAGCTGCTGACAGGGCGCTGTTATGTGCCCGAGTGTGGATGTGACCAAACTCAGGGATATGCTGCTGTTAAATGAAGCGAGGCATTGCCATGGCAACAGAGCTCTCTGCTCCCAGCCAGATGCCAAGCCCTTAAATTATATTTTTCTGGCTGAAAGCACCTCGATTGCCTCTGGTCTCCAAAGCAATGAGACTGTGGGGGAACCAGATGCCTCACCCCCATCTCCAACCTTCCAACAAAGCCCAAAAGGTGACAAGGGGGGGGAGATGACATTGGGGGTACTGGTGGGCTCTGTTCGGGGTGGGGCTTGGGAGCAGGGCTGGAGAGAGGCTTGCCCAGGCTCTGCTTTCCTCAGCTTCTGGTCCAGTGGTCTGGGGTTAATAGCCTCCAGGCCTGCGTTGTAGAAAAGAAAGTGTGTGCAATGAATGTCTACAGGAGTGCTGGTTGTTGCTGTTGGTTTTGCATTCATCATTTCCTGCCATCCATTATTCTTCAGTTTTAAAGAACTAAGCGCTGTATGTCTTCGAGCATCTCTACCACCAAGCAGGTTCTTTTCCAGCAACAACTTGGACTTGGGTTATTTCTAGGCAACCCACCTGGAAAGCCAGAGTCTGGCAGGGACCTCTGGGACAGCAGTGTGCAAGGAGAGTCAACAAAATGGTGAGAAGGAAGCTGGGGGTTGGGGCAGAAGGCAGCTGAGGTCAAGAAGGGAAGGGTGGAGGAAAGGATGGCAGCCTGCTGTGGTCTTCATGTCCTTGCTGATTCCAGTGCCCAGTGGAGTTTGGCTGTTTGGGTGTAATTTTATAGGTTTGTGTTTCACAGTGAAATGATACCCAATTAAGGCATGAGGAGAGTTTGGACAATGCTCGAAGTGCCTTTTCTAACCAATCTCCCACTCAGGATAAGCAGTGAATCCTTCAATCACAGGTTGCTTGGAAATGAACAAGTCAAAGGATGTTCACCTATCATCACCCAGAACCTGGGAGAAGGCGGTGTTGCCTTCTTGCGTAACCACGCCCCTCACAACCACCCATGGAGGCCCATGACAGGGAAGGGCTCTCTCTTTTAGTTGCATGCTTCGGTCATGGAGTTGTACTCCAACTCTCGGCCTCCCCAGTACCTGCTTGCTCTCTGGCTTCTGATGGACAGACTCCGAGGACAGGTAGCTCATGAGCATGGCCCCTGTATGTCTGTATTCCTCACCCTCTATTTACTGCTTGGGTGAATCAGTGAAGATGCAAATGCTAAGATGCTTTGTATTTCTAATTTGTGCACTTTTTAAAAAAGATTTATTTATTTTTATTGGATAGACAGATATGCAGAGAGAAGAGACAGGGAGATCTTCCGTCCTAAGGTTCACTCCCCAAGTGGCCGCAATGGCTGGAGCTGAGCCAATCCAAAGTCAGAAGCCAGGAGCTCTTCTGTAGTGTCCCAAGGCTTTGGGCCATCCTCGACTGCTTTCCCAGGCCACAAGCAGGGAGCTGGATGGGAAGTGGGGCCACTGGGACATGAACTGCGCCCATATGGTGTCCCGGCACTTGCAAGGTGAGGATTTTAGCCAATGGGCCACTGTGCTGGGCCCGAATAACATTCTTAAACAAAAATCTGTTGGGATAGCTCCAATTATTCCCTTAAGCTGCTTCCAGAAGGGAACATTTATTGGGACAAATGGCACACATCTGAAAATGATCACATGACCACTACTTACCACCAAAGCAAACCACTGCGGGGAGCAGAGGCCTACAGCAGACTGCGCTGGCCACAGTGAGATGAAAGCGGACCCTGTAAGATGCCCAACGCCAGCTTATGCTCCTATCAGCAGAGTTAACAGTGAGTATTTCCTCTAGCATTCCTCCTCCCCATAGCTACCCAGTCACAATACAGACCAGGTGGAAGGCCTGAACTGAGCTGTGTATGTGGGGTTTGGTCAAATCCAAGCCAGAAGGTGAGAACTCAATCTGGTCTCTCCTATGGGTGGCAGGGACCCAAGTCCCTCAGCTGTCACTTGCTGCCTCCCAGGGTGTGCATTGGCCAGGAACGGAACTTGAACCCAGGCACTCATCTATGAGATGAGGGCACTGCAGGTGGCATCTTAACCACCACTCCAAGTGCCTGACATGTTTAGCACAGATATTTTTTTTTTCTTGTCAAGTATTTAAAAACTTATTTGAGAGAGGTTGGAAAGAGAGGAAGCTCCCATCTGCTGGTTCACTGTCCTGATGCCCACACTGGCTGGGACTGAGCCAGCCTGAAATGAAGAGTTAGGAACTCAATCCAGGTCACCCATACGGGCGAGAATTCAACTATGTGAGCGGGAAAATGAAAGTTGGTACTCTGATGTGAGTGAGTCAATGAGGGTATTTTTTTTTTGTAAGAATTAATTTATTTTTATTGGAAAGGCAGATCAGATTTTACAGAGGACTCAGAAAGATCTTTTACCTGCTGGGTCACTCCACAAATGGCTGCAATGTTCGGAATTGAGATGATCCAAAGCCAGGAGCCAGGAGTTTCTTCAGGGTCTTCCACATAGGCACAGGGTCCCAAGGCTTTGGGCCACCATCTACTGCATTCCCAGGCCACAAGCAAGGGAAATAAATGGGAAGTGGAGCAACTAGAAAACGAACTAGCATCAAAATGGGATCCCAGTGTTTGCAGGGTGAGGATTTAGCCATTGAACCCATGTGCAGGGACCAAGAGATGTAGGTATTCTAATTAATTGTTCTCCAGTTGGCCAAATATCACCTCCTAACCATGTACCAATTACATGTACAAAGGATGGATTTCTATTAATTTTTGAGACAGGTGTTTAGCCTAGTGGTTAAGAAGCCCCATCCTACACGGGGGTGTGTTGGTTCCATTCCCAGATCTAGCTCTAGCTTTCTACTGCGGGAGACAGCAGTGACATCTCAAGTAAATCGGTTCCCACCACCCTGCTGAAAGACATAGATTGAGTTCCTGGCTCCAGCCTCTCGCCCTGTTGCATCACAAAACCTACACCTGATTATCTTTTTAAATATCAATTTCCCTCTAGGAAAAATAGCATCATTTCATGAAAAAATTAGATTGTATGATGCAGCGAGTTATGCTGCCTCTTGCCATGTTGGGCATCCCATCCCTTGGTGCTGACCGAAGCTCTGGCTGCTCTGCTTCCAATGCAGTCCCTGCTAACACTCCTGGGAAAGCAGCAGAAGGTGGCCCACGTGCTTGGGTCCCTGAAGACATGTGGGAGGCTCCTGGCTTTGGTCTGGGCCAACCCTAGTTGTTGTGGCCATTTTGGGAATGAACTAGTGGATCAAAGATATCTGTTTTTGATATTGTGCCTTTTAAATAAAGAACTAAATCTTGAGAAGTAAGTTAGATCCAGAAAGAGACAAAGCATTTGGCTTGGGTACATAGAGCCAAATTGGTGGGGATGTGAAGGTTAAAAATTGGGGTTTCATATATTTCCCAAGCCATGTCTCATCAGGTAAGACACAGTGATTGCACAATCAGAATGTTCTGTGAACAGTCACACAGACCAGTGCTCAGGGTGGGAGGAGCAAGGGTACAGGACAGACACAACTAGAGCGCTTCCCTAGCAAGAACACAGCAAGCAGAAATAGGAAAGAAACCAATTCCAGATACACTAACTCTCAAAGACAGATACAGATCTTTAATTTAAAATCAAGTTAAGTTTATTTATGGAGAAAACATTAACAGAACACCCTTGGGGCTTTTTTTGGCCCAACAACTAAAATTGCATTGAAAAGCAAACAGGGAGTGTCTGGAGATCTGGGTCTCCTTTTCCATAGATTTGCAAATGTTTATCTTTTAGGCTAGGAAAACAGCTGTGATTAATTTCCTTTCCAGGGGATCTGGTTTCTAGTTTCTTTGTGGTAACATGACAGCCAGAGGGGATGGAAGATTAAAATTTCGGTGGTAATTGGGTGAGTTGAGGTGAGTCCACAGGCTGCCTCAAGAACCCCCAGGTTCCCAGAGGCAGCAAGCGGAGGGGCACTGCATCCCCTGTGGGTAAAATCTGAGGTATTTCAAGATTCCAGAGACACTTGCTCAAGGTCATGGTGGAGGCCAAGAAGCAGAGGATGACATCTAACCCACATGGGATGTATCAACGACTTCCTGAGTAAAGTGGTTCACCACTTTATGCTTCAGGGTGCATTTCAAGGCAACAGTGTGATGACTGGTGAGTCCTTCCCTGTTTGTTTTGGGCTTGTCTTGGTGACAGGCTCCTGGCAACAGAGAGAGGTGTGGTCATTTACTGGAAGGCTTGCTTGCAGGAAAGAATGTGCCGAGCAGGCCTCAGCTGTCAGGGTCTGATCGTGCCCGTTTAACTTGGCAATTTTCATCACCCAGACGGCAGCACCCATTGTTGGGGATGTCTCTTTTTCTCTCCTCCGTGGACTCCAAAGGGAAGTCTTGGTCTGTGGCCAGTACCTGCCGGACAGTCATGTTAACACGAGCCGTTTTCAAGTAGCTGGAACACACCTGCCAGTCTTCCAGAGAACAGGGCTGCACCACTGAATCTCGGGGGAGGTCGGTGGGGAGAGGCGTCTCCAGGCAGTGCGGCAGGCCTTCCCCCGCGGGATGCGGAAGGACACGAGGGACTGCGTGGTTCAACAGGCGGCTGAAACCTGACATTACCATGATGTCACCACTGTGCATAAACATGGCTGTAGGCATCTCCTCTCTTTGGCGGCCACCCAGGAGAAAGATGGCTGACTGTCCAAAGCTGCAAATAATAAATAAAAACAGTAAGTTTCTGTAGTAAACACAGTTGAAGAAGTTAGAGTCAGCTGCATTCGTTTCTCATTTCAGCTTGTGATTTCTGCTCCCCTAATTCTCCACTTGAACTTGTGCTAAGACCCTTTTCTGCTGCCTTGGGTCTGACCAACATGTGATCCGTGATCTGTACTCAAGTCAGCCCTCAGGCCTGCTGCAAAATAAAACCCTGATGTCGTCCAATGAAGAAGATGTAGCAAATGAAGAAAAAAAATAGAGTTTTAACATTAATCTGTAATTTTTATTGACATCTTTTAAGATCTAAGTCCTTCAATAAAATTACTCAAATCCTTTGCTATGTTTACCATTCCTGGGCTGGAAAGATAAGGTAAGGCCGCTCCCTTTGTTTTCAGCATCCTTCTGTTTTCCACCTGTCTACCCCATAGGCACATGCCAAGTGTCTTACACAGAAATAGTAACTGTAATTTAGTCACTGCTTTTGAAGAATGACATGAATTCTGAGAGACGCTAGAGTCCAGCTATTTAATAAAACTTAATGTTTTTATTTCCTTCTGCTTAAAAATGCTTCGGGACAAAGAATCGATTACACCAAGTGCTGCCAGGTCCTGGCCCTGGCTTACCTGAAGGAGAGCAGGGGTTTGGAGTGATCCAGTTCCGATCTGTCCACGTGGATGCCCAGGGTGGAGTCCAGGCGGTAGTAGTTCAGGATGCCTGCCTCAGCTCGGAAGCCCTGAAAGCCACAGGCCGCGGCCACTTGCTCTGAGAGGAAAGCCAGGTCAGAAGGGAAAGGTGTGTAATGATCTGCTGAGTATTTCTTTGGTAAATATGGGGAAAATAAGAAAAATAAACAATGATCTCAGGAACATGGGAAACTGGCATTAGATTACCACTTTAAAATCACCTAAGTACAGAGTACTATTAACATCGTCACCGGCAGGTGTTAGCACAATCTAGCCATCCTCTTGGGAGGCATCCCGTGTGTAATAATGAACCAATGAAAATGCCCAGGAGGTTTACACGGCCGGTGCTGTCCTACACTGCGAGAAACTGGACAAATTCACACTGCACATCACACACACGAGGGAAGCACTACACTGCTCACTGATGAACAAGACAGCTCTCTTAGGGAGTAGAAGACAACTCCAAACTGCCGCTAGACCCGCATGGGGGCTTCCAGCATGTCACCTGCAGCTGGTCACAAGAATGCCCGAGTGATTCCTAGAACTGTCTGCTCGGCTATCTGTGCAAACTTTCAGGATTGAGAATGTATATTTTGGGCCATCCCCCCAACTGCAGCTTCCTGATAGTGAAAGCGGCATTCTCCTTACATGAATGACCCACTGTCTGTTGTCTTTTTCCAATGCTAGTCCCTCCGCTCGGCTCGGGGACGCGGTGGCACAGGCGTCGCCGGCACCACTGCTGAGAGGTTCCTAAGGAAACTTGAAGACAACTGTAGTATCCAACATCCTGGTACAGAAAATGGCTGTTTTGCAAAAGCAAAGTGTGAATTTTACTATTAAAAAGATTCAAAGGGACTCTCTCTCTGGCTATTTCAGCAGCGTGGGGACACCCTCCCTTGTCTTGATGAGCCTCTGTTCCAATCCTTCCTTCCCTAAACCAACTTCACATCCGGTCAGAAAGCCCACGCCCAGCTCAGGCGTCTGCCGCTGTGCGATGTGCTCTGGCAGCAACATCGCAGCCAGTACAAGAACAGCCGTTTTTCCTTTCATGGTCTGGAAATCGGCTCACACTTCAAGCACAGGGGAGATTCCTGTGCAATCTTCAATTGTCTAATCTTCAGTAGAAACTCTTTTTTTTTTTTAAAGATTTATTTTTATTGGCAAGTCAGATATACAGAGAGGAGGAGAGATAGAGGAAGATCTTCCATTCAATGGTCCTCAACTGCTTTCCCAGGCGACAAGCAGGGAGCTGGATGGGAAGTGGAGCAGCCGGGATAGGAACCAGTGAACACATGGGATCCATGCGTGTTCAAGGCGAGGACTTTAACCACTACGTTATCGCACCAGGCCCGAAACTTCTTTTACTGAGCTACAAATAAGAGTTACCATTTCTCAAAACTACGACTGCAGTCAGAGAACTTCAGGTTCCCGGTGTCATTTTTTAGTCCTTTAAGAAACTCAACCAGCCCGAGCTGTTATGATGAATTATTTCCTTTTTGAGGTTTCCAATTCTATCTAAATAGTCTCTATACTACTCAGCTCTTAAAATTTTTCACTTTTTTGCTGATTATTTACTCAGAATTTCGGATCACTTTCATGCCTATTTTTCTCAATGAATTACATTTACTTAAGGTCCCCAGGAGTAACAATGTTAGCAATTAAAGTACTAGTACTATAAACAGAGTTACTGCACTCAGGCACCTAGCAGGTACAGGCAGCGATCACTTCAGAGGCACTTTATTTCTCATAATCACCTTGTAATAGCAGTTTGCCTTACTATCATCATTACTGGAGGCAGAATTCAAACCCAAGCAGCCTTATCAAAAGAGAATCATAATAATCACTTCCCTGAATAAAATATCTAGGTTCCTGTTGAGTCTGTATTGCTGAAAACAAAATGTGTCATGAATGTTTTTAAAGCAGCATCTGTTACTAGCTGGAGGAGTTAATACATTTGCCCTTTTTGGGTATTGATTTAACTAAGGTAACTGCTTAGGGGCAGAGATGATCTCTACCAGTGTGTTTTACTCAGTTATCGTCAGATTCAGTCTTGGTGGCAAGCCTCTTTACTGAGCCGAAGACTAGAAACAAAAGAGGCACTTCCGGAAGCAGCCAGAACAGGAAAGAATAAACTGTAGCACAACACAACAGGGAGCTGTATCAGCTGCAGGAAGTTCGTGCTTCCCTGTCCCCTGCGGGATGCTTCCCTGTCCCCTGCGGGATGCTGTATGACAGGCAGATAGACGCAGACTTGGCAGGTCTTTGTGAGATAGCTGAGAATACCGGAACTACATGAAACTTCCCAAAAAATGGTTCATTGACTTGAATCACAGAGTGACAGAAAGAGATCTACTCAGTGGCTTGCTCACCGAATGACCACAAAGGCCAAGTTGGCGCCAGGCTGCAACCAGGAGCCATTCTTTGCTGCTTTTCCAGGCACATGAGCAAGAAGTTGGATCAGAGGCAGAGCAGCTGGGAGTCCAATTAGCACTCCGATAAGGGATGTCAGAATTACAAGCTATGGCTTAACCCTGACATCTCAATGCTAAGCCCTAGCTGCTCCCCACCCCATCTGAAAGGCAGAGTGACAGAGAGAGAGGGAGGAAGGGAGACTGAGTAAACATGTTTGGTTCATTCCTTAAACATATGCAGTAGCCAGCTCTGGGCCAGGCTGAAGCCAAGAACTCCATCTAGGTTTCCCACATGAGTGGCAGGGACACAAGTTCTTGGACACTGATCTGTTACCTTCTCAAGCCAATTAGCTAGAAACTGGATTAGAAGTAGAGCAACTGAGACTCTTACGCAGCATTCCGACATGGGGCATCAGTGTCACCTTAACTCACCGTGCCGCAAAGCCTGCCTCCATGGAACTGTTGTTGCTCTTTGTTTTTAAAAGATGTGATTATTTGAAAGGCAGAGTTAGATACATAGAGAAGGAAGACAGAGAGAGATATGCCACCTGCTGGTTCAATCCCCAAATAGGAACAAATGGCTAGCTAGGGCCAGGCCAACATCAGCAGCCAGGAACCAGGCCTCCCATGGCCAAGCGCTTGCCCATCTTCTACTGCATTCCCAGGTGCATTAGCAGGAAGCTGAACTGGAAGTGGATCAGTCAGAACACAACCCAATACCCATATAGGATGCTCGCTCATGCCCCAATGGTCACAACAGTATGGGCTGGGCAAGACCAAAGCCAGGAGGCTAGAATCTACCCAGTCTCCCACTCAGATAACAGTGACCAAAAGCACCTTCTTATTGTGAGAGAACTGAACTGAAAGTAGAGCAGCTAGGACTGGAACTGGTACTCATATCAGACACTGGTGTTTCAGGACATGTCACAATGGTGGCCCAATAATCAGGAAGAAATTCAACTACGTGGTCTAAGCAAGTATATAAACAGAAGACAAAACAAAATAATAAAGCCCAAATACCTTACTGTCCCAGTTGTAATGGTAGCCCAGGGTCACCCAGCGCAGTTTCTCTAGCAAACTTCGGGGTCTCCGTTTATTCACTTCTTTGCACCTGCAAAGATTGATGACAGAGGATTTATTCACTTCATCTGGCAGCAACTGCCCTTTGTGTGGACTCCGGAGACTAAACTGAGCACTGCATGACACGGCTGTTAGTCAAGGCTCATGAGGGGCAACTGAACAAATAACCAAGCAAAGACAAACACGTTAGCGCTTCAGATCTCCAGTCCTTGGTTCTAGATCCACTGCTGACTGGAACACATTTGCAATGACAAACATCCAGAACCTCAATAATGACAGACATGTCCTTGTCTGTCTGGGGAGCGGGGACAACAGCACCGAGGGCAATGACAGCATGGTGAACACCGGCAAGAGCCATCAGGCGGCACGCTCCATCTACAGCGGTGGTGCCTTCCCACAGCACAGGCGACGGGGGGAAGGCTTGGTGAAAAGATAGCATATAATCAAAAATAACTGGTTCACCCTGACTTCTTTAACCTCATGTAACATGGTTTAGACAACAGACCTAGGTATCAATTAAGGTGTTACTGTAATTGGTTTGGTTTCTGACATGCTGTTGTTCAAACCACAGCTGACTTCTGAAGTAAGACATCTCTTTCTGCAGTTGTAACTTGTCTGAATAAATCTGCAGAAGTGTTGTTTTTTTCTAAAAATTTAACTACCTCTAAATATCTAAAATTATGACAGTGCTAGGCTTAATCACTTTAATTAATTCACCTTCATATAATTTATATCATTAATCAATCAAAAAACTTTTGGTCCCCAAACCGCAGCGGTCTGAAAACCAGAGAATCCTGGGGCAGGTGTCATGGTGTAGTAGGCTCAGCTTCCGCCTGTGGTGCTGGCATTCCATAGGAGTCTGTTTGTGTCCTGGCAGCTGCACTTCCAATCCAGCTCCCTCTTTGCAGTCAAAGAAAGCAGTGTGTATGTGTGTGTGTGTGGTGGGGGCGGGGGCGGGGGAGGGGGGGTTCAAATCCTTGGGACCCTGTGTTGACACAGGAGACCTGAAAAAGTAGCTCCTGGCTTCAGATTGTGCCAGCTGGCTACTGAGGCCATTTAGGGAGTGACCCAGCATATGAAAGATCTCTCTAACTCTGCCTTTCAAATAAAAATAAAAATCCTCAAAAATATAACAAGAAAAAAAAAAAAAGAATCTTTTAAGGAGTTTATATTCTAGTAGGAGATGACGTATGAGTGGAAAGGGAAAGTGGAAGTAGAAGTGAGGGGAAAATTCCAGGTGGCATAAATACTAGTACTAAGTAAACAGCAGAGAATCTGAAGAAGCATCAAGAAAAATGACAGGGCAAAGTCATCTGTCTTATCAGTCACACCTTCACGGCAGTTAGGAGGCGAGACAAGTGTTAGAAAGTGGCTGGCATTTAAACAGGTGGTGATATGCTGGGCAGTACCTAGTGTGAGCGGAAGCAGAGGATTTACAAGAGGCTCACGCTGTAAGTGCCACTCACTGTGATGTTTGACAATGAATTTATGGACCAGATGCTATCTGTCCTTACAGTTTACATTCTTGGAAGGACATTGTGACATATACATCAAGACCAGCAGATAACAGGGATGGGATGACCACTGACTTATTCAGGACACGTGTACAGAAGGAAGCACAGGGCCCAACTGCTGTCCTTTAAAGGCCTGCTTACAAGGATGTTACAGACAGACACCTTGAACTTGGGTTATGGGTGAGCTCATAGCACTCCCCTAATTCAGAGTGGCTAACTTTGTGAAAGGTTTACCTTGGACAACTTCTTTTCTTCTCAAGTTTAGAACGTTGCCAAAGAGAACATGCATGACCCGTCACTAGGGAAACCTAGGCATTAACTTCTTTGGGCTAAGTCTGTCAGATCCTGTCACAACTCAACCTGGGGGAATTAAGTAGATCCCATCAAACTTCACTGGTGGAGGACCCTTGCAAACTCACGCCTGGCTTTCCCTGGACTTTAGTTCCATGTACCTTTTCCCTTTGCTGATGGTTTTTAAATGAAGCTTTCCTTCTTTCCTTACGCATTTCAAATGCAGAAGGGGTGAGACAGTGTGGGTGGAAAGAGAGAGGCAGATCTCCCACTTGTTGGCTTATTCCTGAAATGCTTACATTAGCTAGGACTGGGCTAGGCCAAAGCCAGGAGCTGTGAACTATGAACTCAATCTAGACCTGCCGCCTACATGGCAGGAACCCAACCACTCCAACCATCACCTGGTGCCTTTCAGCATACATATTGGCAGTAAGCTGGAAGAAAGGAGTCAGGACTCGAACCTAGGCACTCAGGTGTGGGATGCAGGCATCCCAAGCAGCATCTGAACTGCTGTACCACGTCTGCCCTTCCCTTAGCTGATGACTGTTGGGCAGGCATGTGACACAATGGTCAAGATGCTAGCAGGGATGCCCACATCCTCGATCTGAATACCTGAGGTTTGAATCCTGGTTCCACTTACTGTTTCTAACTGCCTGCTGGTCTGTGCCTTGGGAGACAGCAAGTGACGATGCAAGGGTTGGCTTCCTGCCACCCATGTGGGAACCCTGGCTGAATTCAGGGCTCCTGGCTTTAAACCTGGTCTAGTTCCAGTTGTTGTGAACACGTGGGGAATGAACCAATGGATGGAAGAACTCTGTTTCACTGCTTGAAACAAAAAAGCACCAACAGCTGAAAAACCATATTTGTGAATACAATTACATATTGTATTCTCTGAGTTCTCCTTGAACTCGCATGCAGTCTTAAGGACCTCTTTCCAGACACAACAGGAGATAGAAAGCTAGCAGTATAGGAAAACAGATACATAAACCACAACCATAATTACCTAACAATGATAATACGGACAACCACTCTGCATCACTTAATGTTTCCACATATAAAAAAACACGTGACAGAGAAGGTAACACAACCTGAATTCCACCAGCATTGATTTAGCTCAAGGCACAAATAAAATAACTCCCTGATGTTCTCTTCTGGAGAACATTTTCTATTTTAGTAGCTGAGACAGAAAAATAAGTACAACCTCTTATTTTTGGACCCCATGTGGATTCTGTGGTTATTGGAAATATAAACAAAGTTCCAAAGTTACATAACCACTCTGCAGCCCATTCTATTTGTCTTCCGAAGATTCTGTTTACATCCAATTCATATTTAAGAATTATTATCTAGGATAGGAAAAAAATGCTGCTGAAGAAAAGGATGATGCCTCATGGCTGTTGGAGCTACGTGTCTGCAAGGAGGGGAAAAAGGAAGACACGCAAGATAATAACGAAAGACTGGAATCTAGAACTCAAGATAGATGCTGGTGTCCTAACCTATATGGCAGAGAAGAGCTGCACAGGCCTCCCAGAACCCACCTCTACCTCATTCACCTTTTTTTTTTTTTTTAAAGATTCATTTATTTATTGGAAAGTCAGATATACAGAGAGGAGGAAAGACAGAGGAAGATCTTCTGTCCGATGATTCACTCCCAAGTGAGCGCAACGGCCGATGCTATGCCGATCCGAAGCCAGGATCGAGGGACTTCTTCCAAGTCTCCCACACGGGTGCAGGGTCCCAAAGCTTTGGGCCGTCCTCGACTGCTTTCTCAGGCCACAAGCAGGGAGCTGGATGGGAAGTGGAGCTGCCGGGATTAGAACTGGCGGCCATATGGGATCCCGGGGTGTTCAAAGCGAGGACTTTTAGCGGCTAGGCCACATTGCCGGGCCCCACCTCATTCACCTTTTTGCCCAGTGGTTCCAAACACTAATGTGCCACAGAATCAACTAGAAGGTTTGTTAAAATTTAGATGATTGGGCCCGGCATGCTGAGTCAATCAGCTAATCCTCTGCCTTCAAACACTGGATCCCATATGGGCACTGGTTCATGTCCCGGCTGCTCCATTTCCCATCCAGCTCTCTGCTTGTGACTTGGGAAAGTAGTACAGGATGGCCCAAAACCTTGGGACCCTGCACCCATATGGAAGACCTAGAAGAAGCCCCTGGCTCTGGCCTGGCTCAGATTTATTTTGAGAATTTGGGGAATGAACCAATGGTGGAAGATTTCTTTCCAATAAAAAAATAATTTCAATTTTCAAAAAAGATTCATTGATTTTTATTTAAATGCATAATTACTGAGAGGAGAGACATCTGGTGGTTCACTGTCCAAATGGACACAACCACCAGAGCTGAGCTGATCCGAAACCAGGAGCCAGGAGTTCATTCCGGATCTCCCAAGGCTTTGGGCCACCCTCTACTGCTTTCCCAGACTACATGCGGAGGGTTTGACCGGAAGCAGAGTACCTGAGACACGAATCTGAGCCCATATGGGGTGATGTGCCACAGGTGGAGGAACAGGCTGTGGAGCTGCAGCATTAGCCCCTAAAATAACCTTCTTTTTAAAGCAAGGGAAATATAGGACTACTTTGATTCTTCTTACGTAACAATCTTGGAACAAAGACAGCATGGAAGTAAGCCAGAGGTTGTCTAAGGAAGGTCTTCCTAGGTAGAAGGGATGGCCTGGACAACTTCAGCATGCTGTGTTTAAGGACTAGCACTGGCCAGCTTGGCTAGAGAAGGACCAAATGAAAGAGCTCAAAAAAAAACCAAGTCAGAGGTGGCTGTTAGAGCACCTTGGGCTTGTGGGCTATGGTGAGGACCTGAGATGTTGTAGATGTGACGCTGTTATGTTGGCCCTTGTCCCTGGTTCCTGGCACAGAGCTTCTAAACCCTTGGCAGGACATGAATGATACGGTGTCACTATGCAAATCCTTGGACCACACCTGGGTTTATGCTGAAGACATAGATGTGGGGTGGGTCAGACTAACTGTGGGGGCTGCTGTGGTAGTGTAGCTAGCTAATCCTCCACCTGTGAGTGGCAGCATCCCATATGGGCACTGGTTCAAGTCCTGGCTGGTCCACTTCCCATCCAGCTCCCTGTGGTTGGCTCAAATCCCTGGGCCTCTGCACTCACTGCAGACATCAAGCAAGCTCACTATTCTCTGTAAATCTGCCTTTCAAAAACAAACACTTAAAAAAAAAAAAAAAAGGACTGTGTGATTATAATGTTAAGGTTTTACATCCAGTGATACCAGCTGGACCTCTAGGATGGATAGGAGAATGAATTCAACCAAGTGTTCAAGAATTCAATTATTCATGTCTAATTAGTGAAGTCCCAACAAAAATTCTGGACCTAAGGTTTGTGTAAAAAACCTTACTGACTGGTGAACACAGCAATGTGCTTAGGACACGTCCTCATTCCATGGGAGTGAGGGCTTGGAAGCTTCCAGCACTCACCATACGTGTCTACACACGATCTATTTTATCTGTAAAATAGCTGAACTTGCAGTGCTTTCCCGAGTTCCTGAAATTTATAACCAGTTTGTCATGTGTGGGTAGTCTGCAGACTGTAGCCTTAACCTGTGGAGCCTGTGCCATCTCAGGGTATTTTAAATCATAACTGAATTCAGATGGGAAGCTCTCAGGACAATGCTATTGCCGTATTCTAGGCAGAGAGTAGACCAGAGGGAGGTGAAAAGAGGCTCAGGAAGACTTGGAGAGCATGGAATATTTTTAATAAGAAATGATGGCAGCTGAAAACCAACACAGTTGTGATAGGGATGGTGAGGAATGACTGAGTTTACTCTGACTCCAAAGTCAACTGCTGCATTTGCTAGAAGGCTGCGCTTTTGTTTTTTAAAAGCTGTATACTGATTTTTCTTTGATGCACAGAGAGACGGATAAATTTTAGAACTGCTAGTTCACTCCCTAAGTGCCCACAATAGCCAGGGCTGGGTCAAGCTGAACACAGGGACCCAGAATTCAATGTGGGGCTCCAACATGGCTGACAGGAACCCAAGTACTCGAGCCAACATTTGAAACATACCAGGGTGCAGACTGGCAGGAAGCTGGCTAGCAAACAGAGGCAGCTGCGACTTGCCCCAGGCACTGAGGTGGCATTTGGGTATCCCTGTGCCAAATGCCTGCTCCTAAAGCTTTTATCTGTCTATGCATGCATGTACGTGTACTCACTCACTCATTTATGTAAAAGGCTGAGCAACACAGAGACAGAAAGAGAAGATTAAGCTCCACTGGTTCACTCCCCAAATGTCTGCAGCTGACAGGAGCCTCTTCTCAGTCTCCCAGCATTTGGGACACGGGCTGCTGCTTTCCCAGATCATCTGCAGAGCTAGCGAGCAAGCAGAGCAAGCAGGCTCACAGTATCTGAATGGATGCAGCTTGTGCCAGGGCTTTATACTCAATGGCACAGTGCTAGCTTCTTTTTTAAGAACTTACATTCCACTTAATTTACTTACATATTCAAAAGGCAGGAACAGACAAAGAGACAGAGAAACATTTCACCTCCTGTTCACCCCTGAAAAATGCCTTCAACAGCCATTGCTGGGTCAAACCAAAGCCAGGAAATTCATTCAGGTCTCCCACATGGGTGGCAAGGACCCAAGTACTGGGGCCATCACTCACTGCTTTCCCTGGGGCATTAGCAAAAATGTGAATGGAAAGGAACAGCAGGGTCCTGAGCCAGCACCCCAATACAGAATACGTCAATGTCACAGGTGGCAGTTTAACGTGCCACACCACAGTGGCCCCAATTTTAGGTTTAGAATGGCTGTATTCTACTGTCAAGATACGCCAGCTTTGGTTTCTATGATGCCCTGCTGTCAGACTCTGAGGCCGCATCCCACTGTTTGTTATAAACAAAACACAGGCGTAATGTGCCCGCACACTTTGATCAGTTCTGTTTTTGTCTCTAAATTCATGAACCTCTTCATTTCCCTCCGAAAATTTCTTCTTCCCTAACTGTAGAATTTTGCAATCTTAAGATTCAGAGGCTCTGCAGAGGTCCCCTAGCTCAGACGTTCTCCACGTAGGAAGACATCATGGCAGCTAATCAGAATTCCCACGGGAACCTTTATAAACAACAGACCGTGGCAGAGTTGGGAGAGCTGCCTTGTACCGACTACATGACAGACGGGCTATGATTCAATCACACTGTATGATTTATCTGTTCTAATCCCTCCATTTCCCACAGGAGGAAACGGCAGTACACATCACAGTGACAGAATGAGAACCAGGGACCCGATCGATTTTCAATGCCGCCAGCACAATGTCTGAGTATACCAATTTCATCCAGCTCTTGACAACACAAGGTATGACCATCACGTTTTTTATTTCTGCTAATTTATTAGATAAAAAATGTATCCCACCATTGTTTACAGGATGATTTATTACAAAGATTCATCTGAGCTATCGCAAAGGCAGCCAGGATTTCTGCAGAGTCATATGTCAGAAGGAAAAAAATCAATTACTTGAAAACACAGGCTAGTTTATAACAATAAGCTCTAAATCTCAGTCGACCATTTTGTCCTCAGACCTAAAAAGATAATCACCGAAAGCTTAAGAACAGGCTTTCTTCACTGTTCCTACCTTTACCAAACTTATTATAAAAACCAAGAAAACTTTCCAAAGGAAACCACTGAATTTCACTGAGGAAGCTCTTCTACCTCGCACTGCTGCTGGCCCCATTCTGTTTCTAATCCCAGTCCCAACTTTCAAGATGCCAGTTGCCGCAGTCTCCCTCAACCTAGTCAGGTAAACGATCATTCCACTTTATGTTACAAACCATTTGTGCACCAGTCAAGCTGCATCTAATATTTGTTTATGTCAACGTCCTCAATGAAGCCAGAATCCCTCCTCTGTTGATTCACAATGTCTCTCTGGAGCCATGACAGATCTGAGTGCTACTGTAGTAATTTCTGTAGACTCTGAATTTCTGCCATGAATTACGTACTACAGGGCACAGAAGAGTCACGGTTCTGTATTTTCCCCCCAATGCCTGACAGCATGCCTGGCACACAACTGACCCTCAGTATTTGTGGAATAAAGTAATGAATGCTGAGATAACAGGAAACACGGATAGTAATTTTATGGGAGCACCTGACATCACAAAACTAGCAGCGATCACTTCCTCTGAGTAGACGAGCTCTCAATGCTACTCTTGCTCTCAATGCTCCCCGAAGTCTTTAAAGCAAATCATCTAGAGGAGAAAAAGGGACTGAAACTGATCAAGAAAAGATAAATGGATCTTCACTTAATATCAGTGTCAAAGCACCTCACGAAATGCTTGTGTGGAAAGAATATTATTGTGCTAAATTGTGTGGGAATGTTCCAGGGTCCCTGGGCTCAGTGCTAACAGCTGACGCTGACTGCTCACTTACCTCAGAGATGCTTTGCTCTGTTCCCACACATCTTGGGTCTCTTCTTCAGTCATGTGTTTGTCCAGGTTGCACACATTAGGTTTCTGGGAATACAGTTTAAGGCACTGCTTCACCCAGTGCCACTGGTAACCTGGGAGGAAGGGGTTGGGGATAAAAATAAATCCTGCACAAAAGACAGGTGGGGAAAAAGGAGATGGGAGATTCATCAGTCCTTCAGATCATTTCTGACATCCTACACTCGTGACTCTGCTGTAACTCCTGTATCCTTTTAGTCATGTTTCAACGGCATGAAAACTTAAGTTTTGGTGAACATTGGACATTTACAACCATACAAATAAATCTAGCTGTCTCGGTTATTTTCAAAAGAAATATTCTACAAGGCTGTCAACTGTTATCTCAAAGAAAACTTCAGAAGTCAAAGTGGGAAAAGGGCACTCTGTAATTTTCAGCAGGCATTGCCATTTAGAGTCACCCAGCCTTCTCGACTTCCCTATTTCACTTAGTGCAGGCAGAGCAGGCTGCACCCTCATACTGACATGAACTAAAGCACACATCTGAAAGTCATCGTCTAATGAATACAATGTTACCTGCTAACCTATCCTGTCTCTCAGCTCCAAGTCTATTCTTCTATATTTGGCTTAATGTGGGGCTGGGACCTGGGCAACTACAATTCTTCCTTGCTAACTGGCACTCTGCTAACCTGTGCTCACAGGGGCACTAATGGAAGACTGGAGGGCAGAAGACAGTTCCGATGTATCTTTTTCATCCGGGAGAATTGGATTCATTACACTGCCTGTTTCGAAGTGTAGGTCATGGCTCTTCCATGGTCTCTCCACCAAGCATATAAATTTAATCATCCCAAGGTTTTCTGCCTCTCCAATCAGCGGTAGGGTCACAGCTGCTTCTTCTTCCCCTAAGTCTGAAGGTCGGGCATGAGAACCCCTGTGGTAACTGGGAACCACTGGAAGCTGGCGGCTTCCTGCCTGACACAGCCAGGCTGGTGCCCAGTCAGATAAACAGCAAGGCTGTTTCGGGAAGACAGAGGATGGATGAATAAGAGTCTGAGCAACCAGAAAGGCTCAATAAAACGACACCAAAGGCAAGCATCATATAGTATCTAATGTCCAGCTTGCAATGGAATTCTGAAAACAGACTGATTACGCCCTAAGGACTTCTAGAATGCGGGCAACAATTCAAAGGTCCTCAATTCCCAGTTGGACTCTAGATGTGGCCTAGCCCAGAGGTCAGCAAACTTTGGTCACACTGAAGAGCAGATGTAAGCTCTAATGGCTCTCCGGCTCTTCAGCACTGTCATTGTGTCAGCAGAGCCGCTCAAGATGTTAGGAAACAAATGGACATGATGTTTCCATGCAATTACATTTCTAAAAGCAGGGGTTTGAGAGTATGTGGCGGCTTGGCCCCCGGCCGAAGCTGATCAACCCCAGTTTAGACTATTAACAGCACCAGCACATAATATGGAAAAGTCCCCAGGGAGTCAGCCACTTCAGAAAGCTGACAGAAAGGGCTGATGGCACAATAAAAATCAACTTTGGTCCTACTGCATTACTCTCCCTCTCTGCTCTCTGGCATATAAACACAGAATAATGATGCTGCTTAACAACAGCAATGAACTAAGTCCGTCCTTAAGCCATAAGTTACAGTAGCTGTGTAAAAGGACTGGATGGATGCCAAGTACCAGCCGCTGTGCTACCAACCTCACACTAGCTCATTCGTGTTCAATAATCCAGGTGTGCAGATGCAAGGACAGGAGTTCAGAGAAACCATGACTTCACTAACGCATCCTCTGCCGGCCCATCTTACAGCATGCATTTGGGAGACGACGACAAAGGTAAAGTTTGTGGCCACAGAACAACAAAACCAACAAGCCACAAAGGGAGTACATTCAGAGCTCTGCATTGTAAGCTCCAGGCTCTAACCAACCGTCTCTGAACAAGATTACTAGCGGTTCACCATCAGAATTTTAAAGACGGGCCCCGCCCTTGTACAACAGTGGGTTAAGCTGCTACCTTCCACGTCTGCATTCCACACAGGAGTGGGCTGCGTCACGTCAGACCCAGCTTCCTGTTAGTGCACCTGGGAAAGATGTGGAAGATAGCATCCACAACGTTCCTGGGCCTCTGCGTCTACATGGGAGAGCTGGATGAAGCTCCTGGCTTCGGTCTGGCCCAGCCCTGGATGCTGCAGCCACTTGGGAAGTGAACCAGTGGATGGAAGACTTCTCTCTCTGTAAAATTTAGCCTTTCAAGTAAATAAAATTTCAGAGATTTTAAACCAGTGTGGTTCAACAGAAAGAGACTTACACTGACACAGCAGACAAACATAGAAAACAACCTGCAGATTCCTCTACCGCATAAGCCTTACTAAAATCCCAACTCCACGTCTAGACTTGTGTAGGTGAAGCAAAGTGTAGGTGGCTTACAGCCACTCACCGAGGGCAGCCTAGATGCTGAAGTTGACCAATCCTGGTTTACTATTTCATTATTATCAGTGCATGTGCTCCAACTTTATCTGTTGGCACCAACAAATTTCACACAGCTCAAGTTATTACTCCTTAAGAGACAACAGAGGGCAGAATGATGGACTTATGACTGCTTATGAAGGACTATACTATTGTAATAATATGGGGGAATAAGCTAGGGGAGGGGATGTGCGGAGAGGGTAAGGGAAATCCCAGAGCCTATGGAATTGTACCACAAAATTAAAATTGAAGGGGGGAAAAAAAAGAAAAAAGAGAAAATACAAGGCCTGGTGCAGTAGCCTAGTGACTAAAATCCTCATTTTGCACATGCCAGGATCCCATGAGTGCAGGTTTGTACTCTTCCTGCTCTGCTTCCCATCCAGCTCCTTGCTTGTGGCCTGGGAAAGCAGTTGAGGACGTTGTATGTAATGCAAGCATTTAGCCACTGAGCTATCACATTGGGTCCAAATAAGTAAAATGTCTTAAAAAAATTGGGCCCAGCGGCGTGGCCTAGAGCCTAAAGTCCTCACCTTGACTGCGCCAGGATCCCATATGGGCAACAGTGCTAATCCCAGCAGCTCCACTTCCCATCCAGCTCCCTGCTTGTGGCCTGGGAAAGCAGTTGAGGAAAGCCCAAAGCCTTGGGACCATGCACCCACATGGGAGACCCGGAAGAGGCTCCTGGCTTCTGCCTTTGGATCTGCTCAGCTCCAGCTGTTGTGGCTGCTTGGGGAGTGAATCATCGGATACAAGATCTTTCTTCCTCTCTATGCCGGTCCAAAGCCAGGAGCCTCTTCCGGTTCTCCCACGCGGGTGCAGGGTCCCAAAGCTTTGGGCCGTCCTCCACTGCTTTCCCGGGCCACAGGCAGGGAGCTGGAAGGGAAGCGGGGCTGCTGGGATAGAACTGGCGCCCATATAGGATCCCGGGCGTGCAAGGCGAGGACCTTAACCACTGCGCCACCGCGCTGGGCCCCACGGTGATTATCTTTTTAAATGCTGAACCTTGACAACCAGCTCTGAGTTGCCAGGGTATTTGTGGCTGTAACCAGAATGCTAATTACACATTTTTCTATCGCTTAAAGCTGTTGTAGACGGTCAGAGTTGTGGCAGAGAGCCCATACTTGTTGAGCCACTTCTTGCCATGTAAGGCAGCCGCTGCTGACTCTGTTCTATCTTTTGGAAAACTAAATAATTGGACATCTTAGCTAATGCACAATCTAGGATGGATTTGGGAATAGAGCATTTAGGTCAATTCAGTTTTGTCTACTGACTTGCTCACTGCTCCACCCCCCCCCCCCACGTCAGACAGACCCCAGGGGAATGCTGCTTCCCCGTGGTCACCGCACGTACCAGGATAGCCTTCAAGTCCGTATGCGCGCCACTTGCTCACTGGCTGCAGTCCTGCTTTACGCGCATCGTGTTCACTGACTGATGACACACTCAGCTGCGATGGGATCACCTACCCAGGAGGAAACACAAGGTCACAGGGCTTTGCAGGTGCACCCTGGGAGCCTCAACTGTCCAAAGACAACTCCACTGCAGAGTAAACCTCGGAGTCAAGTCTGAAATCCTATGCTCCAATCCCTAGACTTGAGTCATCTGTTGGGGCTTCAGTTTCCGAATCCATATACTAAGAATCACACTGAGACCATTGGTAAGGAGACAGCTGCATGAGGCTACGTGGGAGCCCTGGTCTGATGTCAGCACGGCCCCACGTGGCTGCTGCGGGCATGGGGGCGGGGGACGATGGGCCAGTCTCTGTGCTTTAGAGAGAGAGCTGCTGGTCAGTACCCGAATGCCCACAATATCAGGCTGCGGCAGGCTGATGTAAGAAGCCAGGAATTCCATCCGGGTCTCCCACGTAGGTGTCGGGGACCCAAGTACTGGAGCCCCCAACTGCTGCCTTCCAGGGTGTTCCTTGGCAAGTGGGGTAGGCGGAGGGGGTTGTAGTTGTAGTGCAGCGTAGCCTGTGACACCAGCATCCTATATGAGGGCTGGTTTGAATCCTGGCCGCTCCACCCAAAACCCTCTATGAATGTGCCAGGGAAAGCAGCACGGGATGTTCTGGTGATCTGGGTTCTGCTACCCAAGTGGACACATGGGTATGGGAGTCTAGGCTCCAGGCTTCAGTACCATTGGTGAGTGAACCAAGAGAGGGCAGATCTCTTTAGCTGTCTCTCCCTCTCTAACTGCTTCCCCAGTAAGCGTTATTACAGCACTCTTGGTTTTCCCAAAAGCTAGTAAGGTGGGAGAGAAAGCCTCACACACTTAGTGGACAAGGAGAGCAATTTAAGACATGGTCCTTAGATCCCATAGATTTTCATTTCATATATTACCATTTACTTTCAACTTGAAGAGAAACTTTCTTTCTTTTTTTATTTTTGAAAGAAACTTTCTTTAAAGACTTCTTTGCAAAAGGGTCAATTAAAAGGGTCTTTACACACAGTGGCTTCGCGAAACGCGTTCGATTCCCCCCCCCCCGCCAACCCCGCCCAAGGTTCGGGATTACTCGGAAGGAACACCTTTTACGCAAAGCAGGACGAAAACAGAAACAGAGTTTTAAGGAAAACGACAACTTCTTAACTCCCAGGCTTTTCCGACCGCCGCTCCCGTCTCCCTACCTTGTGGGCACCGGGACCCGAGCCGCGACACGCGTGCGTCGCCGAGAAGTCGATGACCCCTCCCAGGTCCGCGGTCCCGGGCCGAATCTGCCGGTAGAAGCGGAAAAGTTTACGAAAGGCGTCCTCTCCCGGCTCTGTCGCCAGCGTCGCCACAGAGCCCAAGGCCGCCGCCATCTTCCCCATGTCGTTTCTGGGTCGTTCCACCCGGAAGCAGAAGCCGCGGCTCCGGATGCGACCGGTTTTTCCGGGGTTGTCCTCTTCCCTACAAAGATGGCGGCGTCTGCCGTGAAGGGTGCAATGGGGTTGCGAACAAGTATTAGTCGGCCAGTTGCTTTTGTCAGGAAAATTCCTTGGACCGCAGCCTCGAGTGAGTGTCGGATGTGTGGGAAGGTGGAATGCTTTGGGCTAAAGAATCTTTAAAATCCCCCCTGCAGATTTCTGTAACGCGTGGCTGATCGCTCCTGACCTAGAGAATTTTTTTCTTCTAATTGATGTTTTTTTTCCCAGCTTTCTTGAGCTGTGGGGTGGGGCAGACTGGGGAACGCAGGCAACGATCTCCTGAGTTTCGAAGTGATTTGGTAGGGAGGTTTGGTAACTCGAAAGTAGGCAGTGTGCACGTGGATTCGAGATGGCAAGGTCGTACGGCAAATTTCAGTTAAAACATGCAGACCCGAGCGAGATTTTCGGAGGAGAAAGGGGTGTGTGTGTCAGATCTCCCTGGTAAGGAAGCGAACTCCAGGGCGTTTCACGGGGGGCTTGGATGCGGGTGGGCGTCGGCAAGGAGCGGCTGGCCAATTGCAGCGGTCAGAGTGTAGGTGTAGGTCCAGAGATGGAGAAGTTTGAGAGCTTGGCAGGTGGATCACGGGGATCGTGATTGGAACGCGGATTCTTACAGCCCAGCGTGGCGCTGTAACAGCGATAACCTGAGTAGCGGAAGGGAGCCTAGCTTGAATGACATGATGAGGTTTGTAAAACTGCCCTCCAGAATCATGAGGAGGAGTGAACAGTGAACGAGTTTACATGTCAGTGACTGGATTTGCACAGCTACTCAACGTATGTTCTTTTTCTACTCGATATGAAGCCAGGAACCAGGGGCTTCTTCTGGGTCTCCCTCATGGATGTAAGGTCCCACGGCTTTGGGCCATCCTCTATTGTTTATCAGGCCACAAGCAGGGAGCTGGATAGGAAGTGGAGTAGCTGGGACTAGAACCAGTGCCCATATAGGATCCTGGTGTATGCTAGGCGAGGATTTAGCCACGGGGCTATTGTACCTGGCCCGCGTTTACTCATTAATGAATTTGTTTTAAAAAAAAAGTTTTGTTTTTATTGGAACATCTGATATACAGAGAGAAAGAGCTGTCTGATGATTCACTCCCCAAGTGATCATAACAGCTGGAGCTGAGCCAATCTGAAGCCAGGAGCCTCTTCTGGATCTCTCACCCGGGTGCAGGGTCCTAAGGCCCTGGGCTGTCCTCGACTCCTTTCCCAGGCCACAAGCAGGGAGCTTGATGGGAAGCAGTGCTGCCGGGATTAGAACTGGTGCCCATATGGGATGCTGGCACATGCAAGGCGAGGACTTTAGCCACTGGGCTACTGCATCCATTTGAAAGGCAAAGTGATATTGAAAGTCATGGCTGGTTTATTCTCAGTGCCCACAACAGTCAGAGCAAGGCCAAGCTGAAGCCAGGAGCCAGGAATGCCATCTGGGCTTCTTGTGGCTGGCAGGGTCATAAGCGCTTGAGCATCACCTGCTGCCCCTCAGGGTGCACTAACAGGCAGTCAGAGTGGAAGTGGAGGTGCAGGACTTGACACTCGAACGGGACGTGTGCATTCCAGCCATATGCTTAACCAGTTGTGCTACAATGCCTGCCTCAGCGCGGTAGTCACTGTGGTAGAGTTGAGAATATAGGCAGTCCTTGAACAAGTAAGGTTTAGATGAACTAGAGTCCATGAACAGGTGATATAAGAGGCACATTGGTAAAATACAAGTACTAAGTCGGAAGGGAAAGAGATCAGGTAGTCTTTAAGACTCTACATTAAGTCTTTATTGTCTCACAAGGACAGTACATTTGATTGTTTTGCGCTAAGAACCCAGTAAAATCATTATGTATTTGGGTTGGGTCTGGAAGGGTAGTTGGAATTTTCGCAGGGGGACATGAAAGATCCCTGGACAGATGCAGGGATTTGGTTGGCTCTACTTGGGAAGCGGTAGGGACTGTGGCAGAAAAGGCAGGCAGGGGAGCAACACATTCTCAAGCACCAGCGGTTTAACCTAATGCAAACCACAAATTATGAAAGACTAGTAAGTTTGGAATTTATTTTGAATTCCATAATATAACTAGAACACACCGAGGTGTATTTGTCTTCTATGTGATCAGCACATAGAGGTTTTTTTGGGGGGAAAAATTTAGAGAGAACATCTTCCATCTGCTGGTTTACTCCCCAATTGGCTGCAATGGCCAGAGCTGAGCTGATCTGAAGCTAGGAGCCAGGAGCTTCTTCCAGGTTTCCCACATGGGTGCAGTATCCCAAGGCTTTGGGCTGTCCTCCACTGCCTTCCCAGGCCACAAGCAGGGAGCTGGATGGGAAGTGGAGCAGCCAGGATATGGACTCGTGCCCATGCGGGATCCTGGCAGATGCAAGGTGAGGATTTGGTCATTAGGCTGTTGCGCTGGGCCCAGCTCACAGGGGTTCTAGCCACATTGTGCACAGTGCCTGGTGTAGCAACACAGGGTGTGCTGCGGATGCAGACTGCAGCCAACTCAGCAGCGCTTCATCTGTCTGCATTCCCACCCCACCACCAAATCTGCATCATTACTGATTTAATAATCAAAGCTTTAGTTTCAAAACAGTTTCTTTTAAAGCTTAAGACTTTCAGGAATTCTACACAAGCAGCTTGAGTATTCTCGCAGTCCTCCTAGTGTCTAAGTGCAGTTTGGACTATGGAAATTACAGTATGAGTGTAGTAACTTTTCCATGTGGTTTCTCCCTTGGCACAGGTGCGCTGAGAGAACACTTTGCACAGTTTGGCCATATACGAAAGTGCACTGTACCTTTCGTGAGTATCATCTTAAAAAAAAAAGTACTTGTGTTATCTTCTAGTTGATTTTTTTTTAAAGATAAATCAATTTATATGTAATGGAATGAAACAACTTATTGATAAAATTATGGATGTTGCTGTTGGTTAAAAATTTTAAAAAACAACATCAGGGCCCGGCGCAGTGGCGCAGTGGTTAAGGTCCTCGCCTTGCACGCCCGGGATCCCATATGGGCGCCAGTTCTAATCCTGGCAGCCCCGCTTCCCATCCAGCTCCCTGCTTGTGACCTGGGAAAGCAGCAGAGGACGGCCCAAGGCTTTGGGACCCTGCACCCACATGGGAGACCCGGAAGAGGCTCCTGGCTTTGGATCGGCATAGCATCGACCGTTGCGCTCACTTGGGGAGTGAATCATCGGACGGAAGATCTTCCTCTCTGTCTCTCCTCTCTGTATATCTGCCTTTCCAATAAAAATAATAAAATAAATCTTACAAAAAAGAAAAGAAAGAAAAACCCAACATCAGAAGCATTAGTTTTTTCTTGTTGCAAGGATGTTGCTTAATAGTTCCAGTGGCTCTGGACACAGCTTAGCCAGGCCCTCCATGCAGCGTCCCAGATCACTGTAGGCCAGGCGCCACGTGGGACTGCAGTCTCTGTCATCACAGGCTGACCTTGGCATAGACTACCTGCCCAGCTCCCTCAGATTTGCTGAGTGGCAAGATGAGGACGCCGTTTCCTTGTTGGCTTTTAGTTTCGAGCTTGCCCCTGGGGGTTGCTTTTAAAAAATTATTTGAAAGGCAGAGAAGAGAGAGAAAGAGACAGATTTGTCGTCTGCTGGTATACTCCCCAAATGGCCACAATGGCCAGGACTGGGCCTGGCTTGGAACTCTGCCCAGATCAGATTGTCCATATTTGTAACCAGACCAAACACTTGGGTCATCTTCCATTTTCCTAGGACCATTAACAGGGAACTGGATTGGAAGTGGGTATATGTGGCAACCTGACAGTGCTCACAGTGCTACCACAGGGGACCTGGAAACTGGTTTCCATTTTTCAAACATTATCAAAATTGTAACATGACTTTATCTCAACTAGTGTTCACATGAGGGGTAAGAATGCTTTAGAAATCACCTTGTCAAAGGTAAGGGAGATCAGGAAGAGATCATCAGAAATATCCTGCAGTTTGTAAGAATTTTTCTTTGGGGCGGGGGGGGGCAAAGTACAATATAACATTTTTTTTTTTTACTGTTTTAAAGATTTCTTTTATTTTTTAAAAAAATTTTAATTTATTTTTAAATTTTTTATTGTTAATCACATTGTGTTGTGATACAGTTTTGTAGGCACTGGGATTCCCCCTATCCCTCTCACAACCCTACCCCCGTGGTGGATTCCTCCACCTAGCTGCATATTCACAGTTGAAGTTCAATTGGGATTCATTCATTGCATGCATATACCTAGCATAGAGTTCAGCATCTTGTCCAGATAAGTTCAGTGGTTTCTAGGGGAGACCTTCTCTGGTCTGAAAATATAACATTTTTGACAAAACTAATGAGGTCTTCCATAATGAGCAGATGTCCTTATTTATGTCCTTTGTTGGCAGGGTTGCGACAGGGTACATACAGAGACATTACAATGTCTTTTCCACAAGAGATGGATATGAGTTGGATAAACACTTTTTGCATAAGAGAAAATTGTTTAAATTATCAACCAGTCTGGAACTAGGCAGTAAGGGAAAATGCCATCTTCCCTTTTTGTTTTTCTATTAGGAATAAGTGATAATAGTGGCAATATAAAAAAGGTGGTTTCAGAAATGATCTGATGCAACTGGGTTTTGATGTTCAATTTTCTTGTGTCTACAAGTGTAGAAACAAGAGAACGTAGGCATTGAAATTTCCCTTGAGTGGGGCCTGCACCTAGAATGATGAGAGAACTCATTAGTCACACCTCTGCTTGGTAGTGGAGAAGGAGAGGCAATCGTGAGGACAGTAAATGGATGGTAAAGCAAGAATACTGATCTTTATAATTATCTGTAATCTGCCCCATTAGTTACCTCTGGATAAACTTAATGTAAAATGAAAGCACAAAGTTGAAAATGTATTTAATACTTATCCTACTAAGCACCTAGCTTAGCGTGGTTTACCTTGAATGTGCTCAAAACACTTAGATCAGCATATAGTCATCTAATGCAAAGTGCATTTTATAGGAAAATGTTAGTATCTTGTAATTATTGAATACTGAAAGTGCAAAACAAAATGGTCATAGTAAACTTCTATGTCAATATAAAGTTAAAAAATTTTAAGCTAAATGTCTGTAAGCTGGGGGCCATTTGTATTTTGAATTTTTAGGACAAAGAGACTGGCTTTCACAGAGGTATGGGCTGGATTCAGTTTTCTTCACAAGCAGAACTTCAGAATGCATTACAACAGGAAAACCACATTATAGATGGAGTAAAGGTAAACCCGTGTCAATGTGAGCATTCTGTGTGTTGGTAGTATGAGGTGATGGGGATTTTGGACAATTTCTAACTCAAGTGTAGTGGGGGCGGAGTGCCATCCTGAAAGGTCTGGGGAGGGACGCAGGGTAAGTCCCCAACGGTTAGGAAAACAGCAGACACAGCTGTTCACTGTCCAATCAGGCAGTCCTGCAGTCCTGGCTTTTCCCACATATCACACGATACTGGGCGGAACTTACTTGTAAAAGGAGATGGAGATCCTCCTTCTGTTGGCTCTCTCCCCAAATGCCTGCAGTAGCTAGGACTGGGTCAGGCCTCACCCAGCACAAGGATGACTCATCCCACATGTGTATCAGGGACCTCACTATTTGAGCCATCACCTGCTGCTTCTCAAGGAGCACAGTAGGAAGATGGAATTGGGAGAATCAGGATTTGAACTTAGGCTTGTTGCTAGTGGATTTGGGCACCCCAAGTGGCACCTTCATTGCTGTGCCAAATGCCTACCTGATATACAATTTTTAATTGAAGCTAAGGGAGTCTTAAGGAGTAACTGCTTGAGTTCTTAGTGCTGAATTCCTAACAAAACGGAAACTAATTTTTAATGTTTTTGTGGAAAGTGCCTTTTCCTTACAGTGCTTATTTGGTTTTTTCAGCTCCAAGTTCAAGCTCAAAGACCAAAAGTTGTGAAGGGGGATCAAACATCTGATGAAGAGAGAGGTTTTTGAGTTTGAATTACTACCTACTTAATAAAATAAATGTGACCAAGAATTTTGTCTAAATGTTTTTATTTGAAACAGATAGCTGCACTAGACAAGACTTTACTTTCCCTATTCCAAAATGAACTCAACAGGGGCAGAATTCATTCGGCAGGGCAGTTCCAATATGTGAACTCATTGAGGTTGGGGAAACCTTGTTCCTAAGCAGTTGCACTTATACAGATATTAGCCCCAAACTATTGGCATCACACAAAAGGAAATGGGAAGTAGCCTTAATTTTGTGTGTAGGGAAGTATGTTCTGTAAGTGCCGAAAGGTGGGAGACGCAGAAACAGACCCCACTCTTTAAAAAAATCTAATTCAAAGTAGAATTCCAATCCCGCCTCTCGTAGTACAAAGTAGCACAGGGGTCTGGCCCATGGATTTGGTTTTATCCTGACCATTTACAAAGTGTTCCCCATGTGACCTGCATTGTTAGGGCTATGGATAACAGTTCACATTCTCTGAGGAGAGGCAGCCTTCTACTCCTTTCTCCTCTTCTTGCTTTCATATTCGTGCTCCTTGGGGCGGCTGCTATCTGAAGGTCTTTTGGAGCCACCGTGCTGTTTGGCCTCTTCCAAAAACTTGTCCAAACCAAAAGGATCTTCCTCAAATTGAACTGGTCCTTCTCGGCCTCTCTGCCTACGGTCTGAACCAGAAAACTCCTTGTCGGGAACAAATCTGGGGGGAAAAAAGAAAGGAATATGAAGCACTTTGTTTTCAACGGTGTGAACACTGAAGTGGAGTTGTTTTCTGCTTTTGTACCTGTTGGTCTTTATTTTCGATTCTAGGTCATCACCATACATGTCCTTGTCCAGATTCTTACTGGGCCTGTAAATACTCTGGGCCATATCTTTACCGCCTCTCCAGGCCTGATCATAAACGTTGTAAATTTCATCTTCTCCACCTGCAAATCCACTGTCCATACCCTGTGGGAAGAAGATATTAATTAAAATTGTATGCATTATTAAAAACTGAATCTGATTACATTCATATTAAACCAAAACCCTTGCTCATTTTGTAGTAATCTGAACTGCAAATCAAAAAACTGCTACAAAGTGCACTGACTTTTGCTCATATTACCTTTAGGGCTTCATCCAAAGTCCCATTGCTCTTCCACCTATGCTGGTATGTTTTGGGCCGATCCAAATCTAAGACATGTCATTTTTCTGTCCTCTCTCCTCCCCCACCGCCCAATGTAGGTATTCATGACAATACACAAGACAAAATGTTTGTAAAATCTTTGTACCTTGGATTGGTTGAAGAGTCTTTGGTCATATTGAACTTCGTTGGAAGTCCGAGGATTGGGCACACCAAGAGCAATGACCTCACTGATGTCCCGATTTTCATTTCTCTGTAGTTTTGACCTATTTTGAAATATGATGTTATCAAGTGAAAACTTTACAGACAGGTTAAACAAATTCAATTTAAATACAACCAATCTCACAACAGAGGAAACGATACATCATGCTGATGTTTTAGGAACACATATTCTTCAATAATATAACCAGGCTGGTAGTCCTGAGTACAGCAACTACAATGATTAGGGGATACAGGATGTTACAATTAGTACTTCCTCTTGTTAGGTCAAAAGAACTGGAAGAGACTCATTGCCATGAAATTCTTCCATACAAGCAAGCAACCAACTTAGGTCCATGCTGAGATGAAACTGTAGTAGTCTACAGGTGTCACATGGTTTGGGGAGTTTGGAGAAATATATGCAAACTAGATGTATCACAGAAAATTCATTTTCAGTAAACCAGAATCTGCTCATTTGCCTATGATAAATAATTTTATCGAGTAGTATTTCTATGAAAGATCTGTTAGTGAATTGATTACTCACTCAGTATGATTCTTGGCATTTGGATTAATGTAATTCCCTGCTGTTCCAATACTATGCCATCTATATTCCCATGAAGGCATGGTAACTGTCACCGCTTACTTTACTAGACTCACTACTTAAGGTAATTTCTATAGACAATTTATAACTGGTTTTAAGGGCCCAAGAGGGTCATTAATTAAACATTCTCCACTTCATTCCTCTTTGCTCTACATTGTATATTTACTCACACCTCTAAATGCAGATCCTCAGCTCGGCATGATTTCACACACTCAGGGAAATAAAATATTAAATAACTAACAGCAATACTAGCAGCAAACTTTTTAAATGTATTTTGGAAAAATGGACTGCATCAGTTTATAGGATGATCAGAGTATGGAAAACCACACATTTGGGAAGAAAATGGTTTCATAATTACTTTTAATGCTCAGAATTTCACCTCTATGTTATAGCACTTTTCTGAACTTTTTCAAGACTTTTAATTACTATTTATTTGAAAAGCAGAGTTTGAGAGAGAAAAGGAGAGAGGGAGGGAAGAAGATGGAGGATAGACAGGTAGGTCTTCCATGTGCTGGCTCATTCCCCCAGTGGCTGCCAAAATTGCAGTTGAGCAAGGCTGAAGCCAAGAGCCACTCCTTTTGGAGTGAGCGCAGGAGCCCATGCAGCCTGGCTGTGCTCTGTTGCTTTCCTAAGCACATTAGCAGAGAACAAGCTGACCGGCGTTCCAATTCACTACTTTTCTCGTAGACATCATCTGAGTTTTCTTTTCTATAGCCCCACCATGTTCATCCCTAACTCCCTAACTTACTCTACAAGGTAACAGAAAAGATTACTTTTAGGGATAACCAATTTTGCTAAAATAAGGTAGTCAAGTACAAGAAAACCAAGAGAAACTAGTTAACAGACCTCTTGTCGGGAGCTGCTCTGGACAGGTTGCGGTCGTGCTGCCTCTCCTTTCGTCTGTCGTGCCGGATTTCATCCCGCTCACGTGCCTCCCCATCCTCTGAGTGGACACCGTTCAAAATTAGTTTATATTATCCATTAATATTTTGAACAAGAGAATATCTTTTAACATTAGCTAAAAGTTCTAGAAACTTCTTTGTAGTTATACCATAATGCTTGGCAAAAGTCAAAGCTGGACCAGACTCAACCCAGGAGCTGGAATTCCATCTAGGCCTCTCGGAGACCCAAGCATTTGGGCCATCACCTGCTGCCTCCCAGGGTGCACATCAACAGGAAGCTGTGATTGGAAGTGGAACTGGTACTTGGCCTCAGGCACTCCAACGAAATTCAGATGTCCCAAGGGGCATTATCAATGCTGCACCCAAAGCACTATGCCTCCCTTTAAGTTTCCGTGATAAGATTATGATCCCTGAAGTGAGGCCTATTAGAACTTTTTTATTTTTCTCCACTGAGATCACCAGCTTCTACTATACTACATGATTACGTTTTTGGACTCTCTAGAGCCTCTAGGATACTGACTGCCTGAGCCAACTCCCAATAATCTCCCCTGCCCCCAATCTCACAGAAAAACTTGCATGTACCATGTATCTTACACACAGAAGGTGTTCAACATGAACTGAACAAACTAAAGATGAACTATACTGCCCTAGGAGTTATGCATGAAATTAAAACCACTCTCACCAATATTAGAATTTGTTCTTTTATCCTAGTTTAAGAAATATACCAGACAACCAAATACAGAGATTATTGGCAAATTTAATGATAGAAAAGTAGAAATATCCCTAGATCATTTTGCTATGTGGGAAACTGAGTTATTCATTTGGAAATTTCTCTATATTTGAAGAAAATTAAAATAGGAAAAATAATAATGTGATTTTTAAGAAGTGTATCACTTGGAACCTTACAAGTTTCTAGAATAGTTTTATATTGGACACCCCTCTAGAAACTTATATTTCAATTTCTTCGCTGCTTCAGCTTTTAATGACAGAGGTATTCTCCATTTCTAGACTATTTCTGAAATACCTACATTTTTTGTTGTACTTCCTGCTTTTGCACCTTCACAAGATAAATTTGATATAGTAATGAGACTGCCATACCTTTTTCCACATGGGTTTTGATCCCAGCTCTCCTCTCCCTGGCTTTCTGGGCCATCTCTCTTAGTTTTTCTTCATGCTTCTCCTTTTCTTTTTGTGCCATCTTTCTCTCTACTTGAGCACGTGTCTCCACAGCTTCACGAGCCTGTTAGGAAAGTCAGATGATAGGTATAACAGCATCATGGGATAAACTCCACAGCTATCATCTAACTGCTTGGCTAAAGTCTGGTTTGTCAGAGTGATTATGCAGAGAGGGAGACAAATTTTTTAATCTGCTGTTTCACTGCCCAAATTGCCACAACAGTCCAAAGCCATGAGCCAGGAGCTTCTGCTGGTTCTCCCATGTGGATGCAGGGAACTGGGATCCTGAGCAATCCTTTGCTGCCTTCCCAGGCCATGAGCCGGCAGCTGGATCGGAACTGGAATAGCCAGGACTTGAACTGGTGCCCATATGAGATGCTGGCAAGTGCAGGATTAGCCTGCTATGCCACTTTCCTTGCAATGAAAACATTCTGATATCTACATCTAAATTGTAAAAAACGGAATTTCAGCATGACACCTAGCAATCTTCACAAACAGTAGTCCAGGGAGTCATTATTCTGGAAAGTTATGAGGCAGTTGGATTACCACTGGTGGGATGCAGATATAAATACAGAAAGGCTGGGACCAGGTATAGAACTGTCATTAGCACTTGTTGGCACACATACCAAATGTACCCAGGACTGGAGTTAAATGATTAGTACCTTCAGTTATCAGTAAGAGATTTATAAATTATCAATTTATAACAATTCAATTACACTAGACCAACCTTCCGATCAGCAATGTAGAGGGCTTCAGCCAATTTTGCAAAATTTTCGTTGATGTGTACTGTCTGCAGACCTCGCCCATCAGCAGCCAGACGTTTGTCCAATGGAATTGTATAACCCTAACATAAAAGCAGACACAAGAAAATCAATTATGGAAAAACTATAAAACTAAATTGGGAATATTTAAGACCCACTTAGTTCTTTCTCTTACATCTTCACAACTATGCAAAACAGCAGGTAGCAACAAGTGTCTTGTGTGCAAGATTTAAGTTCTTTACATCTATTGCCTCACTTGACCTTCATGTAACTGTGAAGCTGGTAACACTGCTGCTTGCTTTCAGGGGAAGACACAGGCAGAGAGCTTATTTAATATCCCAAGGTCATAAAATTACCAAGTGAATGAGCTAGGATTTAAATACAGACAGGATGCTAGAAAAATATGTTCCTATATTAGTGAGGGTGATTATAATGAAACAAAACTACTGCTATAGCTGAATAGTTGCTAATCAGGTAAATTTTTAACAGTCACAAAAAAACTGAATTAATTACTGTAGTCATAATATCCACAGGTAGAGATTAACCCACTACATTGTCTTAATGCTTTTTTCAGTTTTAGAATCCTGTGTAAACAGAAAGCAAAAAGCAGCCTGCCAGAAAAAACATCTATTAACTTTCAGCTTTAGCATTATTTTGCAAATTTCCGACTAAACTGTTTATCCTAGCTCAAGGTGTTCTAATAAAGTATTGTAGAAACAATTCAAAACGCCACTTGTTTACAAACATATTAAGCAACCCAATCAGACTAGCACACAACTTTTTTGCTTTAAGATGGGCATCATAACTTCCTTCAATTCATGTTTAACTATTGGGATTAATGATCCCTTCTTATACATAAAAAATAGTACCATGAAACATGACTCAGGAAAGAAGAAACTGTGATAAGAAATCATGCTTCACATTTTATAGATTCTTAATAAACTCTGCAATGTTATTTTCAGACATAAATGGTTGAAAATTAAAATCATAAAAATACCACACATTCTGTTCTTTTGTCCTATGATCTTTTAGCTTAGTTTAATTACTTTCAGAAATAATTTTTACATACAAATTGAGTTTTTAAAACCATATTATCTTCCTTTGCTATAGTACTTTACATCATTCTCCTTATCCCTTTTCTAGGTACCACCGAGCTACAATTCATTCCAAGATTCTACACAGTATTCTTGTACCAGACATATATTTTTGAAAAATTCAGCTAAGAGAGATGCTAAAATGCTAACTAAAATTACCCAGACCATGACTCTCTCCTGGCTGTTTTCCAACAGGTTATAATTATTAAGAAGATAATTATTTTACTATAGCTTACTTACCTTGGCATTTTTCCAATTGGAAATACAAGGAGGAATCTTCCACTCTTGTTGTTCCTTTACAGTCATCTGAGATGAGAAAAGAGTGAAAAAGAGACATGTTTTTAGATTTTTATTGCATCCAAAAAAAACCAAGTATGGTCATCAGCTGCCTTAGCACTCATCAGTCTGTGGTAAGCTGTACTTGTGGTAGTGGTCCCCCGGCCTACTGACGTGGGAGCAGCCTCTGGTTTATGTAACGGTGCTTCATAATGCCTGCATGTGAACAGTGCCCACTGCCAGGAAGCAGGCTTGTTTCCTTTTGCTTCAAAGGCCACCCAATAAATACTGATACATGTTAAAAGTTGAAAATTCCATTTGTTCTGGTAGCACTAGATAACCACAGTCCCAAATCAGATTGTAATAATTTAAAACTAATGTAAAAACTAGAAAATGATCTGGAAATTATTTTTCACAGTTATAAAATACTAAGAAGTATTTTTCCTTAAAGAGATCTGGCCTTTTTTTGGGAAGAAAACTTTTTCTTTTGGGCACTAAGTTATGTCCAAAAATTTAGACAGATTATTAGACCTGATAAGCTCATGCATTTACTTTCTGTAATATTCTTTAATGAAATGGTGGAGTTTATGTATTCCATTAAACGCAGGGTTTAAATTATTAATAATGAAACGAACAGCTGACATTTTACATGTCATGTCATAGTAGCTTCTGGAAATTATATTTTTTAGTCTTTCTAGAGCCTTATTTGGTCTGGAGAGACTAATTAAAAACAAGAAACTGTAAGTTAGTGTGATATGCACCTAAATAGACATAGGGAAATTATTTATAAAATGAATAATCATGGGTATAAATGAAGAGTTTAGGCTACAAGAAAAATAATACCTTTCGGCTAGGAGAATGCATGACAGGAGCAGGAGGAGAAGGTGGTCCCCGGGGGATTTTCTTATTAATCCTAAGAAACAAAATCAAAGTACATCACTGTCACTTTTACCCTTCTTAGGGATTCCATCTCAACTATATCATTGTTTTGTTGCTAAAATTCTGAACAGAGGCAAAAATAAGAGACCGTGTAATGAACATCCATCGGCGGTAGACTTTCCACATGGCTTCAGTCATTTATAAAACAAGGCCAACTACGTCACTGTCAATACTCACCCCATCTCCAGAATATTACCATTCATACAGTAAAGTTTTAAAAGCAGTTCTGAAACTGTTTTTAAAACCAACGGCATGGCCTAGCAGCTAAAGTCCTTGCCTTGATGGACCGGGATCCCACATGGGCGCAGGATCTAATCCTGGCAGCCCCACTTCCCATCCAGCTCCCTGCTTGTGGCCTGGGAAAGCAGTCGAGGCTGGACCAATGCTTTGGGATCCTGCACCCGTGTGGGAGACCTGGAGGAAGTTCCTTGCTCCTGGCTCCGGGTCGGCACAGCACCAGCCATTGTGGTCACTTGGGGAGTGAATCATCGGATGGAAGATCTTCCTCTCTATCTCTCTTCCTCTCTGTATATCTGACTTTCCAATAAAAATAAATTTTTAAAAAACGCTCTGAGATGTAATCAACATACAATTATACGTAAAGCATGCAAATGAATTAAATTTTGACATATCACAGTTGAAATAGTGAACATCCTTCAAGTCTCTACATGTTCCCTTCCTTGCCCTCATGTTCCCCACAGGCAACCACTGATGTTCCTTCTGTCACGACAGCTTAGCCTAAAACATTTGATATAAAAGGAATCATTGAGTATTATTTCCTTAGTTTCTTTGACATAACATAATTACTTTGAGATTCATTTACGTTACTGTGTGTATCAATGGTTCATTCCAAGGGCTGGCATCGTAGTACAGCGAGTTAAGCCATCCTGGTTGCTCCACATCTGATCCAGCTCCCTGCTGATATGCCAGGGAAAACAGCAGATGACGGTCCAAGTCTTTGGACCCTTGCATCCAAGTGGGAAATCTATTAATAGAGTTCTAGGCTAAAGGCTGCCCAGTCCGAGCTCTTGCAGCCATTTGGGAGTGAACCAGTAAATGAATGATTCTAACTCTGCCTTTCAAACAGGTAAACAAATCTTAAAACAACAAAGTTCACTCCTTTGATTGCTAAATAGTATTTCATGTACAGATGGATGTACTACAGTTTGTTTCATTTGTTAATAGAAATCTGGGCCAATTTTCTTCCCTGATATCTTTTTTTTGTTGTTGTTAATTTATTTTTTTTCTTTGATGTCTTTTTAAATAACTGTTCAGGAAGCAGTGTTGTGCTGTACTGGATAAAGGAGCCATCTGAAGTGCCGGCATCCCACATGGGCACGGTCTCAAGTTCTGGCTGCTCCATTTCCAGTGTAACTGGCCTGAGAAGAGCAGAAGATGGTTCATTTGTCTGGGTCCCTGACACCCGGATTAAGCTCTTGAATCCTGGTTTCGAAATCACGCAGCCCTGACTGCAGCAGCCATCTAGTGAAGGAACAAGTAGATGAAGATGTCTATTTCTCTTCATGTAAAACAAAACCCAAACAAAAGCATAATGGCTAGTTCTCACCAAGTGTGGCACTTACTTGAACCTCGGAGGTTCCATTGGATCCTTCTGCATTTCTACCATCCGAATCACCCTCTGTTTGGCTCCAGAGTTGAAAGCCACACCTTGCTGAGATGGTGTGTATCTGAAAAAAGCAGAACACTAAGGTTGCTACCCAGTTCAAGCATTCACTAGGCATTTTTTTTTATTACAGTCATAATCCAGACTAAATTTTCTATTTCTTTCATAGAGTACAAAATAATTAAGAATAGCAGACAAGAAAATAGATAAGAGAATGATCAGAAACTGAGTTACAAGCAAAATATAAACTAGAGAGGCATCAATTTGCAAATAATTCAGCTTCGTCTATTTTGCAACATGAAGGTGCAGTGTTCAGTTTCAGAAGTGGCCTAGAAAACCAGTGTCTATTTTATAAGTCTGCTTTTGAGGAAGGAATACCTGCAGTAATCCCAGCACAACGTACAGTTAGCAGGCTTTGATTAATCATATGTTATTAAAGAGAATAATGTCAGCAGCCTTAGCAGCTGTCAATTTCCCTTACCATTTGTGTGTGAATTATCCTTCTACACACAGATTCAGGTGAGTACAACACCTCAAGACTCAGAAGCACTACCAGGAGTCCTATTACATATAAATGGAAAACTATAAGTAATTTGGTTTGTATCACATCCAGCAGGCAACTTGATTTCTTCAAGGGGAAAAGAAAATGAAAGCAGAATATGTAACACCTTTGAGTGAATATTTTAAATAGTTCTGCTCTCTATTTTCCATAAAAAGAATTAGGCTCATTATTCCAAACAAGGCATTCATAATTGTGAAGGAGGATAATGAGAAAAATATAAGGACTCCCAACTTAAACCAAGTCTGAAATGAAATTAAGACTTCCAGGCATACTTCATACCGGATATACTGGGCAGGGGCCAGTTTATCCGCAGCTCGAACCGGCATGGCTGCAGCAACCTTCTGTGATACGGACTTTTCCAAGGCTACTCGTGTCTTTTCTGTTATCTGAAATAAGAAACATTGCAATAACCTTTGGTTTAGAAGACAATCAGGACATAAAAGTCCTCTAAAACGATCACACGTATCAACGCCCTCACCTCCTTGATGGCTTCTTCGTCGGGCCGTTGCAGGTCGGGATCGTCGGCATTCATAACCTCCTTCGGAACCAGGTCAGAGTACTTGCTGTAAATGACCTAAAACGTAACACCAGCAGAATGAAGGAAAACAGTGAATGCAAAGAAACATCCTCATTACGTCATCCCAGACGCCACATTTACAGTAATGAGGACACTCAGATTTTGTCTTTTAAATTTTAAAACCAAGGAAATAAACAAATACACAAACTGCTACTCAGACTGCAAATCAGTAATTTTTCCCATGACTCTTAGAAATTAAAATTGAGATCTTCTAATCAAGTCAATATCCAACCAAATCTTATGGATCAATGATTCCCGTTTTTGAAGTTCACTAGGACTTGAAATTAATGATATTCACTTTCTTCAGAATCATGACTCTGGATGACAAACTCATCAGAATTTAAGTCAGGTTACCAAATAATTTCTAGATTCACTGGGTCTGAAAAATTTCACTGACCTAATACTATTCATAATGGTTTTTTTTTTTGGCATCAACTCTATTCATAGACTAAGAAAATGAACATGTGCCACAGTCAACCTAGAACGTTTTCTATGAAAAGACAAAAATGAGGGGAAAAAAAACCCAAAATACAATTTATATACATAAACTTATTTTTTATTCACTGTCCAGACTTAAAACTGCTGTATGATTTCCACTTAGCCAATAGTTTTTATTTGGCTGCCACCGATGTGATAGGTCCTAGAAAGCAGTATTATTCACTTTCACGTCATCCATACTTGGCAGTAGTTTCAAAAGAATATACAAGGCAGTTTTGTTTTGTTTTTTAACTTTATATATTTTAAAGGCACAGAGGCATCCTCCTTCTCTTAGCTCCCTCTCCGAATAGCCACAACAATAGCCCAAGCCAGGCCAAGAGGAGGAGCTCGGATCTCAATCTGGCTCTCCCAAATGAATCCTAGAGGCTCAGGTACTGAAGCCATTACTCACAGCAGTATGTGTGCTAGCAGGAAACTGGAACTGAAAATACAGCTCAGACTTGAATTTAAAGTAAAAAAAAAAAAAAACAAACAAAAAACTAGAAATTTAACAAATAATAAGCATTCATCTACATCTAAATCAAGGATTTAGAAGTTCACTGGTACAGAAGGAATAACTTATGGATATTAAAAAAAACAAACTTCACACTTGAGATTTTAAAAAATCTTTCTGTAGACGAAAACTGTTTGCTATTATAAGTCAAAGTCTTACATTAATAATTACATTCCACTGCTTAAAACAGGTTAAAGGACCTGCCTGCTATTCTTTATTTCATACTTCATAGTAAAAAATACATTCTGGCTTCAGTGACCTACTCACTTTTTGACTATAGCTTGAATCCCCCTTCAAAGTTTTCAGGTGTGCCTCAGCCCTAGCAGCTCTTATTTTAAATATCCTTCAACTCTGGACCTTTACCGAGTGTTGTTTCCAGCTTTCCTACAGAGTTCTCCAACTTTGTGTATCTCGCAACAAAAGCTCTTGCACTGTGAGGCCTCCCTGCCTGTCCTCATGACAGCAGCACGCTTCCTCCGCCCACCACAGCAGCGCTGTGCACTGCTGCCATGCGCAGGTCCTAACACTATTTACTACGGTACTATCTGTCCGACACTAAAATAGAAATGGTAGCAACAGTTAACATTACCGAGCACTTATTGAATGCCACATTTGGGCTTTATCTATATTGACTAATTTAACCTGTTCTATCAACCCTAGGAGTATGCACATTGATTATATCCACATTATTGATGAGAATATTCACTAAACTGTCTTCAGGGGCTAAAACAATGTCTAGTCCATTGGTAGTATTTAAGTCACAATTTTTTTGTACAAATGAATAATTAAATTTTAGAGATGCCTTATTACTTGCTAAAGCTGTTCAGATTCTAGGCCTGATAGAACTATCTACTTTAAGGTATCAATTTCCCAGAAAAAAATACCATCATAATTAAAATCTGTTTTTCTCAGAAATGGTAACAGGCATCAGGTAAGGGACCACACATGATGTCTGATGCTGACAAGCTGCAGCACCGATCCGTGTGCACTGCCTGGGCTCACCACCCTCCATGAGTACTCCCGTCGGAAAGGACTCACAGCTGACTCTAGTCAGAAGAGTGAGGGGTCGGTGCATTAAGGCCATATCACTAAAAACTGACCTTAAAAATTTCATCTGGGCACGGCACAATGGCTCAGTGGCTAAAATCCTCGCCTTGCCAAGTGCCAGAACCTCATATGGATGCCAGTTCATGTCCCGGCTGCTTCACTTCCCATCCAGCTCCCTGCTTACACGGAAAGCAGTAGAGGCTGCCCAAAGCTTTGGACCTTGTGTCTGCATGGGAGATCCAGAAGTTCTTAGCTCCTGGCTTCGGACTGGCTTAGCTCTGGAGTGAGGAAAAAAACAGATTTCCCATGTGCTGGTTCACTCCCTAAACAGCTACAACAGCCAGAGCTAGGCTGGTCTGAAGCCAAGAGCCAGGAGCTTCTTTCAACTCTCCCACAGTAGATGCAGAAGCCCAAGGCTTTGGGCCATCCTTGAATGTTTCCAAGGACATGGACAGGGAGCTGGATAGGAAGCAGAGCAGCCAGGACTCAAACCGGTATCCGTGTGGGATGCTGCTGCTGCAGGAGGATTCAAACCTGTTACACCAAAGCGTCAGCCTGTTCCTTCACTATTATTATTTAAGTGAGTGTTCCCTAGTTTCTGAGTAATCTAGATCATTCTGAAATAAATCAGAAATTTTCATACTATATAAAAAGTTTAAAAACCTGAATATATAATTAATCAGTCTCCTGAATAATGGTATGGAATCAATCCCCATTTCCTTTAAACCATGAAAATCCATGTCTCTGCTTCCTTTTTAAAAATTTGTTTATTGGAATAGGCCCTGTGCAGTAGCCTGACGGCTAAGTCCTCGCCTTGCATGCCTGAGATCTAATCCCAGCGGCCCCGCTTCCCATCCAGCTCCCTGCCTGTGGCCTGGGAAAGCACTCAAGGACAGCCCAAGGACTTGGGACCCTGCACCCTCATGGGAGACCTGGAAGTTGTTCTGGGCTTTGGATTAGGGCAGCTCCGGCGTTGCAGCCACTTTGGGAGTGAATCAACGGATGGATCTTCCTTTCTGTCTCTCTTCCTCTCTGTATATCTGACTTTCCAATCAAAATAAATAAATCTTTATAAAAAAAAATGTATTTATTGGGCTTGGCTCAATGGCTCAACTGGCTAATCCATCTCACGCTAGCACTGACATCCCATACAGGTCTGATTCTAGTCCTGGCTGCTCCGCTTCTGATCCAGCTCCTTGCCTGTGGCCAGGGAAGGCAGTGGAGGATGACCCAAAGCCTTGAGCCTGCAGCCACGTGGGAGATCTGGAAGAGGTTCCTGGCCCCTGGTTTCTGATCCGCTCAGCATCAGCAGTTGAGGCAGCATGGGGAGTCAACCACTGAATGGAAGAAGTTACTTTCTGTCTTTCCTTCTTTCTGTAAATCCACCTTTCCAATAAAAATAAAATATATTTTTAAATTATTTATTTATTTTACACTATAATATGTAGTTATTATAAGGCAAGCTACTGAGAGCTCGAGCATGCAGGGCACTGCGGCACAGTGACCCAGGCTGAGGCTTTGCTATGCCTGCAGCCCACGGCATAGTGCCTGTTGTAGCCTCAGGCTGCTCAGCTTCCTTTCCAGCTCCCTGCTAACGTGCATCCTGGGAAGCAGCAAATCACGGCTTAAGCATTTGAGCTCTGCCACGTTGGCAGGAGACCCAGGTGCAGCAGCTGGTACCCATTTTTGACCTGGGCCAGCCCTGGCCACTGCAAGCACTGTCCTCTCTCTCCATCCCCTTCTCTGCTCTTCAACAAGACGAAAATAAAGAACGCCAACACTAAAAAATGAGTAACGGAAAGGATTCTTGGGCTCTTGGCTTGGCAATTAGAGAAATATTGCTGCCATTTACTAAGTTGTTAATGTAACAGATAAATTAAATGGCAAATCATGCATTTAGCCTTACAACTAAGTAATTAATGTTTTAGGGAAACAGACAGCCCTGCCCATGGAGACGGGACAGTCATCGCCCTGTAGGCAGCAAGTGCAGCCACGGAGGGAAAACAAATCATTTTACTCTGAAATTGTGCTGTGACAGCAGCGCTGGCAACCTTTCCCAGGGAGCTTCTTTGACAAACTGGTTATGCTGAGGCCTCACTACAGTCAACAGAAGAGTGAAAGGAAGGCGAAGTAGAGAGGACAAAACAACAGCAACAACAACAATACTAACAAGAACAAAACAACAGCACAACAAAACACAAACAACTCTAAGAACCCCAAAGGAAAGTGAAGAAAATTAGGTGGAAACACATGGTAGTTAGAGGAAGCTTTGAGTACAGTTAAAGTTTTTTTTTTTTTTTTTGAAAGAGGAAAACCAGTCAATTCAAATGCCAACAGGATGAAGCCACGAAGGGAGGTGAAAGGGAACTGAGAAGAATAGATTAGATTATCAAAAAAGGGTAAGGGATCAGGATCCAGAATACATCAGTAAACATAAGGCAAGAATAGGTTCGGATAGCAGGAATTTTTCTTTTTTAAGCTTTATTTTATTTGAAAGGTAGAGTTAGATCAAGAGAGAGGGAGAGATAGTTATTCTCCATCTGCTGGTTTATTCAAATGGCTACAATGGCAGGGCTGGGCTAGACAGAAGCCAGGAGCCAGGAATTACTAGGTCTCCCATGTGGGTGCAGGTGCCCAAGCACTTGGGCCATTTTAAAAATTGCTTTCCCAGACACATTAGCAGGGAGTTGGACTGGAAGTGGAACAAGCAGAACTTGAACTGGCACCTATATGGGATGCTAGAGCTGCAGGCGGCAGGCTGCCACAGATGTCCTCAGAAGACTGTTTAGGGCCTCGCACGATAACCTAGCGGTTAAATCCCTGGCCTTGAATGTGCCAGGATCCCATATGGGCACTGGTTCTAATCCCGGTGAGCCAGCGGATGGAAGATCTTCCTCTCTGTCTCTCCTCCTCTCTGTATATCTTTCCAATAAAAATAAATCAATCTTTAAAAAGAAGAAGAAACTGTTTAGAGCAAGAAGAAAAAATGTTGGGTAGGAAGACAAATACAGGATGCTGGGTGACAATAGGATGCTGCCCCTTCTACCACTGCTTACACCTGCAGTGTCAGGATACACTTAAATAGCAGAATTTTGGACTTGTTGTTTCTGAAGGACTATACTATTGTAATAATATATGGGAAATCAGTAGGTGGGAGGGGAAAATACATATAAAGGGAAGCAAGACAAACACAAGAGAAGGATAGAGAGTTGGTGATTTTCTTGTAACCGCCAAAACAGCCGGGGGAGCCACCTGCTAATGAGATAGGACGGCCATTAGGAGTTAAAGCTCCAAGAGCGAACCAAGAGAACCCAGCTGAAACAGGACACAAGCCTGTGTGACTGGATAACTGCTTTCCCTAAAAGATGAGCAGCCATGAGGCAGACAGCAGAGAAGGAGCTGCCAGGCATTTTGGAGGGGAACTGAGAAAGTGTGGGAGAGGCAAGAGAGAGGAGCTGAAGGCTCTCAAGCACACTTTTCCCAACATCATCAACTCTAAAGAAATCTTTCACTTCTATCTTGAGCATTTATTTACAAGGAAATCAAAGTAGGTCTTCTTAAAAATAGTTCCTTGGCTCCGAGCATAGCTGGTCTGTGACAAAGCTTATTTTAAGTAAATTTTATTTCTGCAGTTTTTTATTACTTTGTAAGCAAAGATCACAAATCTGGATGGCAAACGATAGTTTTTTGCTTAATCTAGGACAAAAGAAATTTGTGCAATCATACATATTTTATATTAAAGTAAGTACGGAAGTAAATTAAAATTCCAATTTTGTTGGTGTCCTGGCATTACAGATTTAAAAAAAAAAATGCTAGGGGTTCAGTGACTGGCTAAATGGCTAAATCCTTACCTTGCAAGCACCAGGATCCCATACGGGTGCTGGATCATGTCTGGGCTGTTCCACTTTCTGTCCAGCTCCCTACTTACGGCCTGGGAAAGCAGTGGAGAATGGCCCAAAGCTTTAGGACTCTGTTCCTGTGTGGGAGACCCAAAAGAAACTCCTGGCTCCTAGCTTCAGATCAGCTCAGCTTTAGCCACTGCAGCCATTTGGAGAGAAAACTGGCAAATGAAAGATCTTTCTCTCTGTAAATCTGCTCTGCCTTTCCAATAAAAATAAAACAGTATTCTTTTTAAAACTGCTAGGATCCTTTTGTGGTTTGTAAGCATCATAGTTTTGTTGACACATGGTTGTGACATGTGTTCCCTCCAAATTTTGTAATGACATTGGCACATTACCTACCTGCTGTGAAAAAGAAAAAGGAAAAAAAAAAAGAAAAGAAAAAGAAAAAAAAAACCCAACAACAAAAATCCTGCTATTATTTTAATTAATTGTTCCTTTTTAAAACTTATTTGAGAACCCACATGATTCCATCCAGTGGCTCAATTCCCAAAAATCACACAAAGGCTGGGGTTGTACAGTGCTGGGCTGATTGTTGCAGGATGCCACTTCAGGTCTCTCAAGGTAGAGAAGGACCTGGGCCACTGTGGTGACCTCCCAGGGGCTGGATCAGCAACAAGCTGGAGTCAGGCACTTCAGCGTGTGACATTGGCATACTTAACTGCTAGGCTACATGCTAGCCCTTTTATTATGTCAACGATATAGCTGCAACACTTGGAACTGAGATGATCCAAAGCTAGGACCCAGGAGCCTCCTTTAGGCCTTCCACATAGGTGCAGGTGCCCAAGCACTTGGCCCATTCTCTGCTGTTTTCCCAGGCCATAAGCAGGAAGTTGAATAGGAAGTAGAGCAGCTGGGAATGTGGGATGCTGGCACCGCATTTAGGGGCCTACACCAACACACCACAGCACCAGATCCAGCTTCTTAAAAAAATAAATAAATAAATAAAAAGAATCAAGATTTATTGAGGCTGGACCTTCTAATGTCCTAGGAAAGCAACAAAAGATAGCCCAAGGGTTTGGAACTCTATACCAATGTGGGAGATTGAGGTAAAATTCTTGTTCCTGGTTCCTGCTTCTGGCCTGGCCCCACACCACCCTTGCAGCTATCTAAGGAATGAACTAGAAGATGGAAGACCTCTCTCTCTCCCCGCACCAAGCCTTTAAAATAATTTGAAAGGCAGAAGGAAAAAGAGAGGTGAGAGAGCTCTTCCATCTTTTATCTCTTGTTTTGTTCCCTAAATGACTAGAATGGGCTGGGCCAAGCTAAAGCCAGGAGCATACTGCTCCATCAGGGTCTCCCACGTGGATGTCAGGGACCCAAGGCAGGGCCATCTTCCATGGCCTTCTCCCAGGCATTTCAGCAGCGAGCTGGATTGGAAGTGGAGTAGCCAGTACTCAAAGCAGCACTCTGAAATGGAATGCCGGCATTGTAACGTAAACGGGAGCCTGACCCCGTACCACGATGCTGGCCTCTAACATTTTAATTGGAATATAGACCAAATAGCAAAAGAGTGATCATTTCTACGCCAATTTTAAAAATTCCTCACAAATAGCTATCAATAGAAAAAAATCAATTAGAGATTACCTTGTCTTTTGACTGTCCTTGTCGAGCAATCGCATCATATTTAATTTTTCCTTCAGGATCTACCTGAATGGCCAGTGCATTTGACATTTTTTTCTTGCGTCCCATATCCAGTGGATATTGAGCCACATGGATCTCTGGAAAAGCACCTCCATCTCCAAAATCCTGTATATTTTTAAAAAAGAGGGGGGCAGAGAAAGAAACAAGAATAGTTAATAACAATTCAAAGGCCTAGATACTTGGATACTTATTTATCTATTCAAAAATCATCAAGGAATTAGACATCATAGTAAATAAAGCAGCAAAGGTCCCTGATCTTGTGGAGTTCACTCTTTTAAGATTTAGTTGTATATTGAAAATCAAAGTTAGAGAGGGGAGAGAGATCTTCCAACAGCTGATTCACCTCCCAAATGGCTACAACAGCAGAAGCTGGGCAGTCCAGGTCTCCCACGTGGGAAGAAGAGGTCCAAGATGCACTTAAGGTGTCGTTTGCTGCATTCCCAGGCACAGTAGCAGGGAGCTGGATCAGAAGTGGAGCAGCAAGGACACAAACCAGAACCCGTATGGGATACTGGCTTCACAAGTGGAAGCTTGACCCACCCTGCCACGACACTGGACCCAGGAGTTTACACTCTAGTGGGCTAAGACATGAAAACCAAGCTCTCGGATTTGTGATTAGTTTGAAGGTGACACAGGGTCTAGGAGAACTGGCTACTTTGCTCAGAGTAGTTGACATGGCCTTACACACTTAATAAGCAAAGAAAAGGTGAGGCTATAGTTATGTCAGAAATGTAAAGAACTGTATCATTTATTCATAGTCACATGAGAAATAAATATTACAGGAAGAAGTTAGAAATGATATTTTCACTAGCAATTATATATGACTACTTAGGAAAGAGAGCTAAGTTCTAAAGTAAAACATACTAAATGAAGTCTGTCAATTAAGTCTAATATTTAAAAAGGCAGATTAAATAAACATGAATATCAAGCATAATTTTCAAACAAAACACCTTAGTATAATTTCCAAAACACTACTCATATCATTTAATCTTCGCAATTCCTCAACATCCTCATATTTCCATGCAGAAAAACTTCAGGTTCAGAATAAGTGATTTCTCCAAGATTCTGGAGCTGGTACATGCAGAACTTGAACCTAAGGGTTTTTTTTTTTTAAGATTTATTTATTTTTATTACAAAGTCAGATATACAGAGAGGAGGAGGAGAGAGAGAGGCAGATCTTCTGTCCGATGATTCACTCCCCAAGTGAGTCAATCCCCAAGTGAGCGCAATGGCCGGTACTGCACTGATCTGAAGCCGGGAACCAGGAACCTCTTCCAGGTCTCCCACCTAGGTGCAGGGTCCCAAAACTTTGGGTTGTCCTCGGCTGCTTTCCCAGGCCACAAGCAGGGAGCTAGACACAAAGTGGAGCAGCCAGGATTAGAACTGGTGCCCATATGGGTTCCTGGAACGTTCAAGGCGAGGACTTTAGCAACTAGGCCATGCCGCCAGGCTCTCAAAGGCTTTTTAAAAAACTATTTGTTTATTGGAAAAGGACAAAGAAATATCGATGAACCTATTACCTGCTAGTTCATTCCCCAAATATCCACAAAGCTAGGAGTAGGCCGGGTTCAAACTAGGAGCCAGAATTCCATCTAGTCTCCCTCACAGGTGGCAAGGAGGCAAGTACTTGGGCCATGCTCTGCTGCCTTCAGGGTGCATCGGTCAGAAGCCAGATGAGAACTGTAGGGACGGGCACTTTGAATGTAAGATACAGGCATCCCAAGCGTGGAGTTAAGACACTCCGAAACAACACCTGTGCCGAAGCTTCCTATTTCTCACGTCTCTGAAGTTTTATCCTTTTGGTTTAAAAAATCTGACTCAATACAGGTCAAACATCCCAAATCTGAAAATCCAAAATTCAAAGTTTTACAAGGACCAGCATGACCCTGAAAAATATCCTGGAGTTTAGAACTCAGGTGTTTGGATTAGTGACACATGACTGGTCAAGACTGCGCCCATGTGCTGACATCTGAAACACCTCTGGCTTCAAGGCCTTCAGGAAAGGGACACTCAGCCTGCACTGCTACAAAATGACAGGAAAACACTAAAATTAATCATTAGGTTTTGATGGAAAAAAAATTAGGAATATATCCACTTCTACAGAACACTAAGCAGGATTCCATTAGACCTAGGGTATGAGCTTCTAGGTACAATACAACCACCTGCCAAATAGAGGTTTGAAATTTTTGAAATCCAACAAAATAAAGTGGAGATATTTCTTTGTAAATTAAGCAGGGATATCTAAAGTGTTCCTAAGAAAAGTGCTTCTTGTCCATGGCATCCATGCCCATCACACACGCCCAGATTTGCTAGAGTTCAACTATAATAAGCACTTCAGAACTCTAGAGGTAGTATTATGTCGTCACTGAGCTTGACAGAAATCATAGCTTTCACTTTGTAACCAGAACAAAACGCTTTCTTCCATCAGAATATTCACTCCTTTCAAGAAGCGTCCACAGTATTTCCAAATTAGCTGCTCATTTTGGTTTGATTTTCAAATCAACTACTCAGTTCTACCTAGATACATAAAACTGTGATAATCAATATTTTAAAAAGCTACTGGCAGCTGAATGTCATAGTGCTGACACACAAGGAGATAAAATGAAGCCCAGGACTCTGTAACTACCGAGAGGCCAATGCACCCCCAGGTCCCTCAGAACACCCCACCTCTCCACCAGCCAGGGCTGCTCAGGGCCTTTCCGCCCAGAGACGGGGACACTACCTCCTCTCTGCTTCTTGAAAATTATTCTATCAGAGAGAGAAAAGCAACAAATCTCTTAATAACCGTTAGTAAGATTGCCTTTGCACACCAGAACTCACAAAGCCCAGAGAGCAGCTGAGGGAAGACACAGGGAATTGTGTTAGGACAGGACATGAGCCAGTCGGGGAGTCACCCTCTAGGCTCTGTACCGAGTCTGGTGGCAGGGGAATGGCAGAAATGGGACAGAGCGAGACTGCAGGTAGGTTGCTGAGATCTAAGTCTCAAACGCTTTTTTTCCTCCCGACCTAGGAAAGAGGGTCATGGAGGGAGGCGGCCCTGAAATCAGGGGAAAGCAAATGTAGTGAACTGATGTACGGGACTGTGAGTGATCAGGAGAAAAAGTGCTACCAGGGAAATGTATTATTTTACAATCAGCTAGAGATACGGAAAAATCATCCCACATTCTCCTTCCCCAAATTCACCTTCAAATTTTGTGTCTTACACTTCCTAAAAATGTATCCGTCTGTAGAGCAGGCATGCATTAAATTCTCAAGGTGAACAGAAAGACAGCAGCGGGGGAAGCGTTGCTGAAATCGTCCCCGCAGGGTTACGGGGCACGATGCAGACTGGAGGAAGCCCACCAGCAAATCCACTCCGATCACCCTTATTTTCATCTCTTAATTTCCCATTATTTTCCATATGGTATAACACATACTTCAAAGCTGTACGTTCGTTTCTTTTGTATCTATGTAAGTTTGACTTACAAGACAAGAAGAGCGATAGCTTACAATCAGATTGCTTCTCACACTGACATTCCCGGTCAGAGGTTCTAGGGTTTGAAGTTAATGAAAAGCGTGCTATGATAAATTTCAGCAACGTTTAACACATCCAAACTAGAGGTCCCCACTTACCTCTAAGAGCCGAGGTATCCAGCCTTTCCGGTATCCGTACGGGGGCGGTTCTCTCCGAGACGACACCAGCGAGGTCTGTCTCGATCTCTGGGATCTTGCCTTCTCTTCAGCCTCAAGCTGGTCCTGAGAGAGCTGCGTAGGTGCAGGTAAAAAGCTGCAAGCAAAAAAAAGAAAATTTTATAAACTCTCACATTTAATCTGTTTGTTTCATTTTGTCCATCTGAGAGGATTTCTCCTATAATGTGTTTTACCTTGAGCAAGGGAGAAGACTTCTCAAAGGTTATGGCAGTACTCATTATTTTAAAGTCATTTATTTTTATTGCAAAGTCAGATATACAGAGAGGAGGGAAAACAGAGGAATATTTTCCAACTGATGATTCACTCCCCAAGTGAGCGCAACGGCCGGTGCTGCACCGATCTGAAGCCAGGAGCCAGGAGCTCTTCCGAGTCTCCCACGTGGATGTAGGGTCCCAAGGTTTTGGGCCGACCTCAGCTACTTTCCCAGGCCACAAGCAGGGAGCTGGATGGGAAGCAGAGCTACTGGGATTAGAACTGGTGCCCATATGGAATCCTGGCGTGTACAAGGCGAGGACTTCAGCCGCTACGCCACGCCCTGGGCCCTAAAAATGTTTCATTCTTCATGGCACACGGCAAAAAGGGAGAAGGTCTCAGGTCAGAGCAGCAGGACAAAGAAACAGCAAGATACCAACCACAGCATGGTTCCTGTCCCACTCAGTATCTACCGCCACTGGCACAAGTCCCAGGGCAAAGATACAGTTGGGGGTTTTCTTTCAGCACCAGCTACCAAATCCTGGCCCCACTGTCAGAGGCAGGACCTGTGAAAGTGCTACCATTCCTAACAACTTTTAAACATTATATTACAGGGCCTGGTGAGGTAGCTTAAAGTCCTCACCTTGAACGCCAGGATTCCATATAGGCACCGGTTCTAATCCTAGCAGCCCTGCTCCCCATCCAGCTCCCTGCCTGTGGTCTGGGAAAGCAGTCGAGGATGGCCCAAAGCCTTGGGACCCTGCACCCACGTGGGAGACCCGGAAGAGCTCCTGACTTCTGGCTTCAGATCGGCTCAGCTCCAGCTGTTGTGGCCATTTTGGAAGTGAATCAATGGACAGAAGATCTTCGTATCTGTCTCTCCTCCTCTCTGTATATCTGCCTTTCCAATAAAAATAAATAAATCTAAAAAAAAAAAAGAGTATTACAGTGATATCCTAAAGCACCACAAGAGAATTTCAGTAGATGAATAACACGATGAATGGAAAAGTAGTTCAAGTTCCACAGTGGGTTTGGTCCAGAAAGCATGCTTGAGCAAACAACAGCACTTTTTCCTCCATTTAAAAATATTTATTGGGGCAGGTTGCAGGTTATGACCATATTTGCAAAAGCTGGTATCCCATCTGGAGTGGTAGCCCACACTGGAATATCAGCTTAATGCAAAGCTACTCGGTTTCTTTTCTCTCATTTTTTGTTTTAATGGTTTTTTTTTTTTTGGTTATTCAGGTTCAGGTACTATGGTGATAAGAGTATAAACAGCTTATGTCTCTTAGTGCAGAAAGACAATCAATCAACCAATCAATCAAAGAAATCCATAATTACAAACAAACTAAACAAGGAGGGAGCGCAGACAGTAGGACAGCACCGAGCAGAGGCCTCTAGCGTGGTCCACGGGGTGGTGGGAGGACCATGTGTGATGGCTTCGAACCCAGAGTTCAAGTCCTTACCTGTGCCACTTATTACCCTGGTACCTACGAACCCCTCGAAATTTGCCTACTTCTCTGTAACAATACATCACAAAAGCTATCTGCCTCATAAGGCTCTTAAGTATTAAGATACAAATGAACCATTGGCAGAGTCCCTGGATACTACTCAATATGAGCTGCATAAAAGTCTGAATTGTGGGGGAACTATCCCGGGATTTCCTCCTTCTGGGCTGGCTTCCCCTACCTTCGCTCCCACCAGACCCTCTGCGTCCGGTCACCAGAGTACTCAGCCTACCAGTGTGCAGTACTCACCGACCTGGCCTTCTCTCACCAGACCAGGAGCAACTAAGACAGGGCTAGTGAATCCCGCTTCCTTGATCCTAACTGCCACAGGCAGTTCAGGCGACAGCAGGGGCCCCGTAGACCCTCACGGGCTGCCCTGCCCTCAACATCCCGCCCTTCCTACAGCCTTGCCGCCTTTCCCTGAAGACACTGCAGGGGTTTTATGCATGCTGTTCTCTCAGCCATGAAATACATATTTATTAAAAACAATTTCGCTCTATATTTTTATGGTAAACTCTTTTCCTAACCCTTTAAAGGTTATGGATCTAGCATTTATAGTTTTGCTCTACTAATTCCACTTTCCTAAAGTTATTTTCTGAGTAGCTTGTCCAAAATGGCCACCAGAATTCCTAATTTGGAGTCGCCCTCTCTCTAATGCCTTATTTTCTTCCTAGTCGTCAGTAACTGAAAATGCATTCCTGGTGTGTTCCCCTCACAGTCTGTACCACTGAAATACAAGCTCTGTAAGACAGTGTAAAGGTATAGGAAGAAGTTCCTACTATCTCACTCAACAATCAACCCAACATGCACAAAGCTTCTGACACCTGATGTTTGAATCTATTCAACTCTGACCCTAGCTGGGGCCAGGGTCAGATTACACAGGCTGAGGGCTGTCCGGCAACACTGCTCACTTCAAGTGTGCTCACTGGTGCACGCCTGACCCACTAGGTCCAAAGCAGATTCTCTCCAACCCTCTTCTAGAACGCGAGAAACATGCTTATTGATTCATTACGGATGACATTGAGAAGATACAAACAAACAGCATAAGAAAAACCAAGTCGCTGGCCACCTCACAACTGCACTGTTTCAATTTTCAGCACACCATACCCTCCACACCCCTGTCTACCCACTTCCAATTCCATCTTTTTTTTTTTCATAAACTCACGCACACGGTTCACTTCACCTAATTCTCTTTTTTCCCCTTGCTCAAAATTATCATCTACATAAATGAACACTTTGATATGTGTCTGTCTTGGGCCGAATCTTCCCTGTGGCTAAGGGTAGATTTCGCCTCTCTGTAACTAACCTCTGGGACACACCAAGGTATTGTAAAGTCATTCCCTAAATAAAGATCTCCTTCAGACATTTTTTTTTTAGGATTCAGAGTGTCATCAGCCTGGATAGGGATGTGTGAGGAGCTCCAGCCCGTGTCTTTTCCTTCACAACCCTCTGTTAACTTGCAGACCACACCTGCCAAGTCCGCGTGGAAAGTTTTCTTACTGCGACGGGGCAGCAAGGTCGCCCACGAAGTTACGTAACTTCTTCCACATAGAGCACCTTATCTCAAGGCAGAGAGCGCTGGGCTTACGGTTCCCAAGGCAACCGGGAAAGGTCGCGATCTCAGGCCATTCTAGTTGACCGGCGAAATTCTCTTTTAAGATTCAAAGTTACCAAGCGCGGAGCGGTGGCGCCTAGGAAGAGCAGCCAGCGGCCACCGATAGGGGCTAAGTCTCAGATTGCCCCCGGTCGGTTCTGGGTCCCTCTTTTCAGGAGTCCTCGTTTGGGGCCGCAAGAGTGGACAGAGAAATGCAAAAGAAAGGCGATCGCAGACACTGGCCGGAGCGCCGCGCATCGCATCCCGCGCGCCTCTCCCACTCCATACACACACGCCCCCGTCCCCGGCAGCCCCCACGGGCTTCAGCCAAACACCCGTGCAACTCTTCAGCTCCGCAGGTCCCGTCGAAGCGTTTAGCCCGTCCGAGGGACCCAATTCAACCCTGGAGGCCACTCGGGAAAGACCCCGGCTTCGGCGAGGCCTAGCCGTCGCGGCGGCCGGCCCTAGCCACAGTATCGAGTCGCTTCTTTCTGTGCCCCTAGCCAGATCCCTGGACGGAGAGGATAGGCAGGAAAATTACAATGCTGGGCACTACCAGATCCTTCCGTATCGCCCACCCAAACCAACAACCCACCTGGTGAGCGCCATCTTCTTCCGCTTCTTCTAACGCGAGCGACGGCGCCGCGGGGCGGGTCTGTTCCCGGAGACAAGGAACAAAAAAGGAAAAAAGCACGCGTTGCGCAGGCGCCGCCGCCGAAATGGCTGCTGGGACTTGTAGTTGTTTAAGGGGACTACCATTCAGTTCCCTTCTGATCAGATAACGGGTTTTCTTGCCACAATCCACTTCGGCAAAAGCCTAACAAGTACTTTTAAACTATGATATGATAGGACGTCCCCGCAGCAAAATAACGAAATTTAAGGAAGGGGCTTTTTAAAGTACTTCTATTTGCTTTCCCACGCAGATCATTCCCCTAGAAGTCTGACTCCGACAAGTGAGAGGGTTTTGGGAGCGGGAGGAAATTGTGACTGGAGAATGGAGAGTTCTTGGATGCCGGGAAACCATTCACTATCAGAACTGTTCTTGAAACGGTATCGTTCCTCTCGAGACACATTCCTGGGTGCTTATGGTATGTTTCCCAAAAATGCTGGTGGGGAAAAAAATGGAATTAAAAAATGTTTTTATGAATAAACACAAATTGAAATTTATACTAAGTTCTTTTATCATACATATTTTGCTAATGTATGTCTTTAATGGAGATCGGTTGTGTTTCTGTAATCGTTACTAAGTTACTTTGAGCACATTGCTTACGGATTGTTATGTGTACGTATTTTAATGTGTTAAGTAAAAATTTCAGGAGGCCATTGATTCGGATTGATCTCTTGCAGTAAGACCAATATAAATTTGAAGACCTGATTAACTTAGTTTTGAGTTGTAACATCTGGCAACATTATACTCCATGAAGTAAAATGAGTGTGTTTAGGTTGAGCAGCTCAAATGAGGTTGGCACAGAAAAAAAAAAGGAGCTGAGGAAAGCTGGAAACAGAACCCAAAGTGGGTCGGTTCCATCGCACTCTCCTTAGGAAGGCTAACGAGACAGAGGGTCCTGTTGCTGCCTACAGCTAGCCTGCTTGAGAATTTGACATCATCTCCCTGTTTTCTCAAAAGATCAGATCAGTGAATCGTGGTGTGAAGTTTCAACACAACTATGAAAACTATTTTGGTTTGGTTTCTTAAACCCAATCCGATGCCTTCTGTATTTGATGGTTCCGACATATTAACCCACAAGGCAGTTGCTTAAGTCACCAAACTGGTACCTGATGATGAAATGAATCTGACTGTAACTTCACCACCGTTAAGCTACGTGACAATCATGGTCAAGGTTTTTGTGCCCCAATTTTATGAAACTTCTAACACTGATTCTATTATAAACAAATAATAAAATTAGTGACTTTGTGCCCCGGGGTGGTGACATAGCAGCTAAAAGTCTCACCTAAACACACTGGGCGCCAGCCAGTTCTAATCCTGGCTGCTCCACTTCCCATCCAGCTCCCTGCTTGTGGCCTGGGAAAGCACTTGAAGACAGCCCAATGCCTTGAGACCCTGCACCCATATGGGAGACCCAAAAGAGCTCCTGGCTCCTGCCTTTAGATCGGTGCAGCACTGGCCGTTGCGGTCACTTGGGGAGTGAATCATCGGATGGAAGATTTTCCTCTGTCTCTCCTCCTCTCTGTATATCTGACTTTGCAATAAGAAAAAAAATCTTTAAAAAAAATTAGTGACTGTGAGGTGTAAGTGATGTAAATGGGGGGTATTTTTGTGCTTTTATTCAACCCTTAAGTTTTAGATAAACATATTACTTTTTATAGTTTATATGTTGGTGACAGTGATCTATTTGCTTTAATCTCTGCTACCAGAAAAGTACTATTTTCTTTTTTACTTCTTTTGTTATTATTATCATTTTTAAAGATTTATTTGCTTTTATTGCAAAATTAGATATGCATAGAGAAGGAGAGACAGAGAGGAAGATCTGTCTACTGATTCACTCACCAATGATGGCAACAGCTGGAGCGTAGGCCATCCGAAGCCAGGACCTGGAACCCCCTCTGGGCCTCCCACGCAGGTGTAGGGTCCAAGGCTTTAAGCTGTCCTCAACTGCTTTCCCAGGCCACAAGCAGGGAGCTGGATTGGAAATGGGACCGCCGGGATTAGAACCAGTGCCCATATGGGATCCCAGTGCGTTAAGGCGAGGACTTTAGTTGTTAGGTTACTGTGCCAGGCGCTATTATCATTTTATGACACAGTTCCATAGGTCCTGGGATTTCCCTTACTCCCTCCCCCAAGTACCCACTCTCACTGAGGTTTCCCTATATGATTACTATAGTATAGTCCTTCATACACAATCATATGTCCATCATTGCGGGCATGGACAATGGCAAAGTCCAGCCTCCTACTGTCAAGATATAGTTAACAGTTTCATTGGGAGTTCCATCTTTGATCTAGAAGTAGAGATGCATACTGCATTGTATCCTCATATTTGGATATGATAGTCTCCATTACACAGTTACTATACATCCCCTTAAATGAAAAGCCACAAAACAAAACCAACAACAGGAAGAAAAAAGAAATTAAAAATGGCATGAAGTTAAATAACATGCTACTGAATGACTGATGTGTCGCTGAAGAAATGAAAAAGAAAATCAAGAATCTTCTTGAAGAAAACAAGACTGGATTTGAACTGTAATATTGCAATAAGGTGGAACAATCTACCATGGGGGGAGGGCACGAGGAGGGATTGGGGGAACATCAGAGCCTATGAAATGATGTTATAAAATGAAATGCAATAAAAAATTTTTTTCTTGAAGAAAATGATGCTAGTATATGATCTATGAGTCAGTAAAGAATTTAATGAGAGTATGTTGAAGAGATGAAACTAAAAGAAAAAAATCAAAAACCATGAGATATCATTTCCATCTCATATGTTGATGAGATATTTTTCCTGTAGGCAACAAATAGATGGGTTTTGTGTTGTTAATCCAGTCTACTAATCTATGACGTTTGATTGATGAGTTTAAGCTATTTACATTCAGGGTTAATCTGAATGGGTGGTAATTTGGCCCTGGGTTACTAATTTTAGCAATGCGTTACTAATTTATTTGGTTTTCTGTTATATTACTGGGATGTTCTTCACATTTGCCTTGTTTTTGGTGGGCGCTATTCTTGAAGAGAACAACTTTAAGTATCACTTGTAGGGGAGCTTTGGAAGAAGCGTATTCGTTTAACTTTTCTTTGCTGTGGAAGAATTTTGTTTCATTTTCAAAGATAAAGGAAAGATTTGCTGGGTACACTATCCTGGGATGACAATTTTTTCCTTTTAGAATCTGGAATATGTTGCTCCTTTCTCTTCTGGCCTGTAGAGTTTCCTGTGAGAGATCAGCTGTGAATTTAACTGGCATTCCTTTATATGTCAATCGATTTTTTTCACATGCACATTTAAGGATTTTCTCCTTATGTTTGATTGAAGAGAGCTTGATTATCATGTGTTGTGGTGAAGACTGCTTTTGGTCAAGCCTGTTGGGAGTTCTGTGCCCCTCCTGAATGTTGTTTCCCAATTCTTTTTCTAGATTGGTGAAAATTTCCCTTATTATTTAATTAAACATAATTCTTATTAAAGATTTATCTTATTTTTATTGCAAAGTTAGATATACAGAGAGGAGGAGAGACAGAGAGGAAGAGCTTCCGTCTGATGATTCACTCCCCAAGTGACTGCAATGGCTGAAGCTGAGACAATCTTAAACCAGGAGCCAGGAATTTCCTCTTTCAGGTCTCCTATGCAGGTACAAGGTCCCAAGGCTTTGGGCTGTTCTTGGCTGCTTTCCCAGGCCACAAGCAGGGAACTGGATGGGAAGCAGGGTTGCCAGGATTAGAACTGGCATCCATATTGGATCCTGGCACGTGCAAGGCGAAGACTTTAGCCACTAGGCCACCACGCCAGGCTCGATGCAGAGTATAAAATTATAAAACATATGAGCCAGCTTCATGGAAATGCAGGCTAAGCCTTGATCTGTGGTTCCAGCATCCTATGCTGGCACTCATTCTAGACCTGCCTGCTTCCATATGGCCTGGGAAGGCAGTGGAGGGCAGCTTGAGTCCTTGGACCCCTACACCCATGTGGGAATTATGGAACAAGCTCCTGGCCCCTGGCTTTGGATCAGTTAAGCTCCAGCATTTGCAGACACTTGGGGAGTAAACCAGCAGATGGAAGAGCTCCAGGCTGTAGATTGGCCCAGTTCTGGCTACCATGGCCCTCTGGGGAATAAAGGAACAAATGGAAGAGTTCTTTTTCTCTCTCTCAGATTCTTCTCTCTCTGTAAATGATTTTCAAATAAATAAATAAATTCTCACTCCTCTCAACCCCCATCCTCCCAAAAAGAGAAAGACTAAGAAAACTTGGGGCAGAGATAATTTCAAACATAACTTCATTACAATATTCACATACCATAAAATTCATGCTTTGCAAGGGTACAAGCCACTGCTTTTCAACATATCCACTAACCCTTGCGATCGTCACCACTGTCTAATTTTAGCACTTTGGGCCTGGAACGATAGCGTAGTGGTTAAGGTCCTCGCCGTGAACACATCAGGATCCCAAATGGGTGCTGGTTCTAATCCCGGCAGCTCTACTTCCCATCCGAATCCCTGCCTGAGAAGGCAGTCAAGAATGGCCCAAGGCCTTGAGACCCTGCACCGGCGTGGGAGACCTGAAAGGAGTTCCTGGCTCATGGCTTCAGATCGGCACAGCATTGGCCATTGTCACTTGGGGAGTGAAGCATCGGACGGAATATCTTCCTCTCTGTCTCTCCTCTGTACATCTGCCTTTCCAATAAAATAATAAATCTTAAAAAAAAAGATTTGCTTTTACTAGAAAGTCAGATATACAGAGAGAAGGAGAGACAGAGAGGAAAATCTGCTGTCTGATAATTCACTCTCAAAGTGGCCGCAACGGCCAAAGCTGCACCGATCCAAAGCCAGGAACCAGGAGCCTCTTCTGAGTCTCCCATGTGGGTGCAGGGTCCTAAGGCTTTGGGCCATCCTCAACTGCTTTCCTAGGCCACAGGCAGGGAGCTGGATGGGAAGCGGGGCTGCCGGGATTAGAACTGACACCTGTATGGGATCCCGGCACATTCAAGGCAAGAACTTTAGCTGCTAGGCT